TGTGACAAAAAACCTGTGTGCCAGACTGAATGGTGTTAAATTTTGATTTCACAATGATTTAGCCAGGCAGATCTGGTGGGGACATTATACCAAGTTAATGGGATGGGAGGAGGGGGTAATAAAGATTTATTTATTTTAGAACACATAGATATTCTCAATATGAAACAAAAGCAGTGCTATTTTAAATAAAGTATAACCTGAGAACTGTTCCAATTTTAAGATTAAAAAAGGCGGGGGGGGAGTTTGTACCAGTCGTACCAGTCAAACCAGTCAAAGGGTATCAGTTTGTACCCTTCTGCTAAAGGGTCAGCAGAAGAGCAGAAACTGTAGGAAAAAATATCATGCATTGTTAAAAACAATATCTATAATATGCTATGTAAAGTTAGGAATATGAACACCCAGGTGCTTTTTCTGATGTTATTTCATAAGTTTCCTTTAAGAATCAGAACTAGAGATCAGCACTTTGTATTGTAGCCAATTTACATTGTACCCAATGTAAATAATGTATAATTTTATTGTCTTAGTCTGTTTGATCAGTGGTTGCTTGATTTTATGAACATTATTTGCATGATGGCATCTGGATTACTCTGAATATTGTATTCTCTCTATGTATACCTGTAATTACAGAGATTTTGATGATTTGTGGGTGTGGAGAGAATTTACATTTGTTACTCAGCAGAGTCTTGTTCTGATTAGGGAGCGTCAATTCAAAGGAAATTTGCTTCTGATTCAGCTGCTAGGATGTTATTTAAAAAGAGTGTTGGTGTGCATGTAAAAGGAACTTCTCTGACATTGGATAGGGGAACCAATTTAGTTTGGATGTTTAAAACCTGTAGTAAGCTCTATTTTTAGACACGGATCTTACCATTTTTGTGTCAATCATTTGTAAAGTACTCTAGAGCAGCTGGTTACAGGGACAGTAGGATCTTAAACTACCCTAGCTGACTGCACGGAGATGTCCCTCCATGCCAGCAGCACATGACGCCTGAATACTGTATTATCTATCCAAGGAGCATACTTAGCTGTACAGTCTCAAGCATAGGTTACTCTGCAGGTTGGCTTTTTGCATGAGGCTCCCCTCTAGTTTTGAGGGGAACTCCTGGATGTTTATGTAAATAGTCTAGGATAGATTTTAGAATGGCAAGTGATGCATGAAGGGAACAAAGCAACAACAGAATGTTAATTTTTTTCCCTCCCCAAGGCTGTAATGATTTATAACCCCCATTTTCAAGAAGGGGAAAATGGATGACCCAGGCAATTACAGACCAGTCAGTCTCACCTCTGTGCCTGGCAAAATCTTCGAGCAGATTCTCCTGGAAGGCATGCTAAGGCACATGAAAAATAACAAGGTGCTTGGTGACAGCCAGCATGGCTTCACCAAGGGGAAATCCTGCCTGACCAATTTGGTGGCCTTCTATGATGGGGCTACAGAACTGATGGACAGCGGTAAAGCAGTTCATGTTATCTACCTGGACTTGTGTAAAGCGTTCGACACTGTCCCACACGACATCCTTGTCTCTAAATTGGAGAGGCATCAATTTGATGGATGGACCACTCGGTGGATAAAGAACTGGCTGGATGGCCGCACACAAAGAGTTGTGGTCAATGCCTCAATGTCCAGCTGGAGACCAGTAACGAGTAGTGTCCCTCAGGGATCGGTGTTGGGACTGGTCTTGTTCAACATCTTCGTTGCTGACATGGACAGTGGGATTGAGTGCACCCTCAGCAAGTTTGCTGATGACACCAAGCTGTGTGGTTCAGTAGATACGCTGGAGGGAAGGAATGCCATCCAGAGGGACCTTGACACGCTTGTGAGGTGGGCTGATGCCAACCTCATGAAGTTTAACCATGCCAAGTGCAAGGTCCTACACCTGGGTCGGAGCAATCCCAGGCACAGCTACAGGCTGGGCAGAGAAGAGATTCAGAGCAGCCCTGTGGAGAAGGACTTGGGGGTGCTGGTCGATGAGAAAATGAACATGAGCCAGCAGTGTGCGCTTGCAGCCCAGAAAGCCAACCGTATCCTGGGCTGCATCAAAAGGAGCGTGACCAGCAGGTCGAAGGAGGTGATCCTGCCCCTTTATTCTGCTCTCGTGAGACCTCACTTGGAGTACTGTGTACAGTTCTGGTGTCCTCAACATAAAAAGGACATGGATCTGTTAGAAAAAGTCCAGAGGAAGGCCACGAGGATGATCAGGGGACTGGAGCACCCCTGAGAAAGTTGGGTCTGTTCAGCCTGGAGAAGAGAAGGCTGCGTGGAGACCTCATAGCAGCCTTCCAGTATCTGAAGGGGGGGCCTATAGGGATGCTGGGGAGGGACTCTTCATTAGGAACTGTAGTGACAGGACAAGGGGTAATGGGTTAAAACTTAAACACGGGAAGTTTAGATTGGATATAAGGAGGAAATTCTTTCCTGTTAGGGTGGTGAGGCACTGGAATAGGTTGTCCAGGGAGGTTGTGAATGCTTCATCCCTGGCAGTGTTCAAGGCTAGGTTGGACGAGGCCTTGGGTGATATGGTTTAGGGCAAGGTGTCCCTGCCCATGGCAGGGGGGTTGGAACTTGATGATCTTGAGGTCCTTTCCAACCTGAACTCTTCTATGATTCTATGATTCTATGTATATCATCTTAACAAACCACTATTTAACAGTCCTTACAACAATGGGTTTATTTGTCAGTGAATACCTATGCCATCCTACTGGAAAAATCTTAGAAGTAGGTATCAGGAAGTAGCTTTTTAACCCAGTTTTGTAAAGCTTCAGCTAAATAAGAGGTAAGCAAGTGTAACCATTTTCAGAGAGGTATTCTAGAAGTATGACAGTTTCCATTTTCAGTCTTCCGCTTTCAGTTTGTGAAAGGTTGTTTTTTCAGTCTCTCGGTAAAAGATAAAAGAAGGCAGTGAATAAAGACAATAAACCTAATGTTAATTTTTTAAAAAAGTACATAATGCTGTCTAAGGAATAAATTTTATACATGAATTTACCATACCATTGAAGTATTTTGAAAGAAGTAAGACACTGCCAGTACTCATTTATTATTTTGTACCTCTTGCAGAAGGAAAAACTAATGTTTGCACAGAAAATTAAGTATCTGTTTATTAATTTAAGCTGCCAAATCAGCCGAATTTTCAATGGATTTTGTTGATCTGAGGGAGCTGAAATCCAGTTACCAAGGTTGATTTATTCTCATTCATTTTGAGGATATATTTTTTTTCTTCTTGATACATAATCAGGACCTTTAATCAAAATTTTAGGATATATAATTTATTATAAACAATGCAAAGTACTGGGCACTGCTATAAATATATTCCTATATCTAATGTGATTTTTAAGTAATAGTCTTCCTTGCGTTTGTTTCGTGTTAATTGTAGGTATGTTTCCTTTGAATTTTTCAGCTTTTTCTTTCAACTTAGCCATTTTACATAGTCATTTCCTTGACCATTTTAGGTATATAGAAGTGGTGACAATTCCATGTACAGAACAGACAATTACCTTTGTAACTTGGGAAATAATATGTTGCAAATCCTCATAGTGGGTATTAATGAGTACTGGTGATATTTATTGAGGCAGAAGTTGGAACCAGAGGTAATAACATCACCTCAAGAAGGGCTTGCGGTCCCCAAAGCCTTTTTACTTCAGCTGAATTATCTGGGCTAATAAAATATGCGCTTTCCATAAAAATAGCCTGTTTGTGCTCCTAAACTATTACAAGCACAGTGACAAAGCTGCAGCAAAAAAAATTAACTGAGTTCTGCGTTAAACAGATACTGCTCTCCACTGTGCTGTCATGCCTTTTTCACAAGAAGCTAGTTCTGCCTTCCATGCTGCCTGTGCCAGTGAAGGCAACAGAGTACATGGGACAGTCTAGAAAAACATTATACATGCAGCAAAATGCATTACCTTTCTGAGTCAACATTGTCAGGGATTACAGTTTCTTCAGGGACTTTTTTACTGTTGAAATTTAAGTCTTTTCTGAACATATGGAAGGCTGAAGTTTGTTAGGTCCTCATAGGACAGCAAAAAGGTCATCCTTTATGCAAAGATAGTCTTCCTGCCAAATGTCAAGTCTTCCTGGAAAACATGATGCCACAAGAGCTTTTCCATAAGTCACTAAATATTTTTTTTTCTAAACCATGTAATTTTTACTGGCCCTTTCCTTAGAGGTATGTGAACATTTAGCCGTTATTTTCTAAATTCTGGAAACATCAGCCTGAGATAGAAGACTTGCAGATCTACAAGACAGCACCTCACTAAAGGATACCATTCCATTAGTGTAACTTATTACAATATTACTTTTTTACCTGATAATAAAAGAAGCAACAACAACAAAAATGGTAGAAAAATGAGCAAGAAAAAGTGTAGAAACAGCAGCAAATCTCTTTTACTATAATTACAATTTGTGCTATCTTTATTGTGTGCTATTTTTATCCTTAATTCCTTCCTTTCCCCAGGTCTCTAAAGCAAGGCTCTGTGGCTTAGAAATTGTAAGAAACCTGGAAATATAATTTGTTTTCAGACTTTGTATTTGCAAATCTCTTTACATGAGTGAATGTTTCTTTAAAAATATTCGAAGTGCTTAAAATCTTAACACAGAGACATTTTAGGGTAAGCCAAGATAACTTTGGATTGTTACTCTGGAATTTAGTTGCATCTACTTGAATTTGGCTGGGATGTTACCAGTGGATATTCCTGTGAGAATGCAAAGGGATGTTTTTAGACAGAATGAACAAAGCTTTGATTTTTTTTTTTTTTATAACCAGAATAATTCGATCTCCAGAAGGTAGTATTGCTGTTGCTGCTGTTTATGTTCAAACATTTCACTTTCCTAACTAGGAGAACAATCCATGTGCTCTTGGAGGTCTTTGGAAGTACTGACCAGATTTCACCTTTCTCGGCTTGAGTTCAGTCAAGTTTAAGTGATTTAGTTATATCCAAATACGAAGAATCATTCATTTTGCCTGCCTGTGTTTTTTACAGGTTTATCCTTACGTCAGAGGAGATACAATCTCTTTACTGATTTATTTCTCTTTATTTCTCATGGAATGATTATTTCAGTGAAAATGTATGGTGTAACCACCAGTGCTTAGCTAACAGAGAAATCTGTGAAAGTAGAAATACCAGATTTTAAATCTAAGAGGGAAAGTAAAAACAATAAAAAACACAATGAAGTCCACTCAGAAGTGGTTTTTCAGTTTATCAATCTCAAAATTGTGAAGGAATTCATATCCCACTAAACTTGCACAGAATTTGGAGACCAAGCTCTCTAGTTCATGTAAACATCTCTAGTCCTAATTGCCAAGCATCTATTTAATTTTAGAGCTATTTGATATCTTAAATTTTATCCTGCTTCTAATATTCTAGCACATCAATTTGTATCTGGCGAAAGGAGCAGAAACCCACGATTTTGACATGCCAGTACAGACAATGGAAAAGCTGGACGGCAAGAATCCTGCGCTTTCCGACTTTGCTCCGTACAGCACACGTACCTGTTAGCATGCCGGTTGCCAAGAGCACCACCTCGTGCTCAGAACGCAAAAAGCACTTACTGTGACGATCAACACCGGTAAGGGACCGCGGAGGGGCTTGGCATTACTCATGTGAGGATTCTGTCTCGGCTATTTCCTTTAATGCTAATATGAAACGAAATTACTCGGCTCATGGTGAAAAAATGATTTTGCATCTTGCATGCAGGTCAATAAATATAGCCAAGTATTCTAAAAGCCTGATTTGTGTCACACATTATTTACATGTATTTTGCACAGCAAGGTAAGACATTAATATACCAGTGCTTATTTTCTGCTAAAATTAGCCTTTCTGAATACAGCACTATTCCTTGTCTCATTGAGGAGATAACTAGGAAAGAACTCAAGTCATGACCATTTCATGAGGAATTTTTCAAAGTACATATCTCAGTTTCTGTTTTCTTCACCATGCCCAATTACTACACTAAATGGGTGCTAAGGTCATAGAGCAGATTCTCCTGGAAACTCTGCTAAGGCAGAGGGAAATTAAGGACAAAGACATATTCCAACAGAGTAAACCATTTCTGATTGCTTATGAGCAGAATACAGAAATGGATATTTTTATGGTCCAGGTATGTTACACAACCAGGGACCATTATATTAAGTTTCTAAATTATGTTAAATTCTTACTTGTCATTCTAACATATTTGAACAAAGAAGGTTGCATGATGTTGGTGAGAAGTTTAGGCAAGAAATTTCAGTCCAGGAGATCTTGATGGTGTTCTCAGCTTCTTCATTGTACAGGCAAATTGCTTTATTTCTCTGTGAACCAATTTTCCTGTTTCTAAGTTGGGGCAATTTGCAAGAATTTAAAAGAATCTGTTCACATTGTGAAATTCAGTCTGAAAAGACTGAGGAAAGGTTTACAGGGTGGTAATGCTTTTCCGGTTTATGTTGTACTATTGCCTGATAGAGAATTTCTTCATCTTTCAATTTGTGAATCTCTGCCAGTGATGCCTTAAAAATTGTAAAATAGGAATGATGTATTTTTCTCTTATTACTGTGCTATTCCCTCCTTCCCATACACAGGACTCAAAAATTTAAGTGACAGTATCTTTCCATCAGCACAATTATTTTGATTTGAATGAAATTTTAGATTCAGCTGGAAACACAATCTGCTTCTGCAGGCTTCTCACAGATTTAGCTACAGCTCCTTTGATTAAGCTACAGCACCTTTCCCTCTTAAAAGCTTTTCATCTTTCAAACACAGGAAAAAATATTCTTTCTTGACTGTTACAGGTGACCATGGAGTACTTGTATTTGAGTGGATAAAGGGAATACACATTTGAAATCAGATACATTTAATATTTACTTCTTTCTTTCTCCAACATATGTGTACTGTTTGCTTTCTCCTGACTTTAAACTCATTCCCACCTTGTGTGTTGTTTATTCCTACTTCTTTGGTAATTGATATATTATTAGTCTAGCCATTATACTAGTATCTCAGCTGTTGATACTTAATGTGTTATTTCTCTTCAAAAAAGTCAGTGGTTGCTGTTTACAATAAAAGAGATCACAAGCTGTATCAGAACCCAAAATTTCCAGTGATTGTATTTCCAAACACTAGTTTTTTGCCACATGGAAAGTTTTTCCATCCACACAACCATTTCCTCTGTTTATGGAAATGAGGTATGTATATGAAGGTAGTGAAGTTGAATTTGAGAGTAGCTTAATTTTTTCCTTTTTTTTTTTTTTTTTAAAGTAAATGGTCCTAATCTGTTGTTAGAACTGCTTTGGCAAAGTTCTTGCTGTTTTCAGTGGATTCAAGCTCAAAATTACTAGTTTCATGCATTTTTCAGTTACTGGCCTTGCTTTTTTGCAGGGTTTGTACCATCTCTGTCAATGGTCTCATTTAAATTTTGAGACTCTCTGAAGTAATAGTTACCCAGCATCAGTACCACTGGCAGAAATTAATCTTTAGTGTTTTCAAAAACACCCAATGAGAAACAGAAGTTAGATGGCATCACTGAGTATGGTGTATTATTAGTAGCAGTAGTCCCTAAGAAAAGATTTTAGTTTGCCACCACTTCTGTCATATCTATCATATGAACCTAGGACACCCACTGACAAAATCAGTTTGACAGTTATTGTAAGAGATGTCAGTGTGATGACATCACAGTGTCATCCTAACGAATAGAGTGATGCACTTCACTCAGAGAAATAACAGTATATATATTGACAGTAATTTAACAAAGTTTGATAGTAAATGAGACAGTAATTTAACAGTATTTGATGGCAGGGTACACTTTATTTACTGCAGAAAGGATGGAGTCAGACAAAACTGTCAGACCTTCCTATTGAGTCATGATGTTCAGAAACAACCCCCTTACTTTCTAAACATCTCAGAGCAGAGTCTAGGTGCAGCTGGATCCAAACTTAGCCCCAAACTTGGTCAATGGCTTATGTCTAAAGGATTATGTATGTGAAATCAATCCTTTATATCACTTAGCTAAGATTTCCAAGTTTGCCATGATATTAATCACTTAGTGAGTGTCAGATTCAGTTTGGAATCTCTCAGCCTCAAGAAGTAATTTTCAAAGGTGTCCCTACTCAAGGGGAGATCCACTGCCTCTCATTGTGCAGGAGAGCTCAGTAGGCCCTGTGCTCCCCACTATTTGTGAAGCAATATAATTGGCTGATCGTCACATTTGCATACCAACCACAGGGTTTTTTTTCCAAACTTGGCTTAAGTCAGACCAAGACTATCACTAGGGGGAAGCATGTTGCACATATTAGCCCTTGGCTCATGTGCTGTTGTCTCTCCCAATCTACTTGGAGTTTGGTGCAGCCCTCAGGACACAGACCATTACCACCACCACCAGCGGTTATCACTTGAGCAGATTTACAGGAAATAAAGGTCAGGTTTGGTGAGGAGAGGGGCGCAAACCACCACAGTCAGTCAGTCCTGAAAGATTTGTATGCTTAGCTATCTCTTTCTAGGAAATAATTTGAACTATTCTGAGAAGCTGCGCAATAATAATACAGTTTCCAATACATGGTCACTCTACAGTTTCCACTTATCTTGTGTATCTACTTTTCACATCCTTGTTTACTAAACATGTATTTTTCTTCCTCAAGAGTTCACTGGATTCACAAACATGGGCCTGTGTAAAGTAATTCTTCAATTGTGTCCACTGTTAAGCCGATCTATTTTACCTTTCTCTCTAGCAATATCAGTTAACTGTATTCCTAATTTTATAGGTAGGTGGAGGTAAAAAGCATGGAGGGGAGAGAGGGCATTCATTCCCGTACTGCATTTAAATGTAATCATTGATTCATGTGCAAATCAACAGTGTAAAAACTTTATGGTTTGTCAACACTACTCTACCATATTCTGTCTTTCATAAAGTGTACATGTGCACCGCAAACTAACCTTCTCTATAACAGTCTAAAGATTGGTTTTGGTTTGGGTTTGGGTTTTTTTTAGAAATTCTGTCATTTTAAAAAACAAATTCCCACATCTGTTGTCTTCCCCAAGCCACAATTCTGAAGAAATGGTAGAAATTGCTTTCTATGTTTCAGAAGTCACTGTATAGAATTTCTTACGTTCTTCACTGCCTTTACTGACCTGTTTAAGGACCAGGCAATTTCAGCTCAAGTATGTGCCACCTTGCATGAATGTGTGCTCCAAGACATATCTTTCAGAGGCCACAAGGCAGATTGCTGTGCATTTTAGCAAAGAAATAGCAACTTCTGCTGTTTCTTATGGGTACTCCATAAAAGAGAAAAATTCTGGAAACCGTATTCTGCGTATATGTGCTTGTATGTATCACATCTATGTATATGCATATATACAGACTAAGTCTGTAAGTAATTTTAGTGTGTTTCTTAGTTTGAACTTGATAATACTGTGTTTCACTCACTGAACAACTCAACACCTTTTGTCAATAATTATATTAATAGCTGCAGAATATACACGGACAAGCCTACAGACAACTCTGTTCACTAGAAAGAAGGTAAGTAATTGCTATTTGTCCTTTTCATCAGGCAGGCAAAAGGGCATGCAAGTAAAGAATCTAAGCATCTCCCACCAGTTCATAGCATTATGAGGACATACTTTCAAATATCATTTTATCTGTGCAAGTCACCTGGTATCCACATCTGGTATTTGCCACTTTGCTTTCACTTCTGAGACTTTTTCTTTAGAATTTGTAAAAATAGTGTGAAAGACACATGCTTTTTACTTAGGGAATTATGCAACACATTAAGAAAATTATACTTCTTGTCTTAGGCCAGTTGGAGCAGCTCTGGTAGTCAGTGACTTCCCACTGCGACATTCTTTGCATCATTGCCCGGCAACGTCATGAAGCAGGTCCTTCTGGAAACTATTCTAAGGCACATGAACAATAACAGGGTGATTGGTGACAGCCAGCATGGATTCACTAAAGGCAAATTGTACCCAACAAATTTGGTGGCCTTCTATGATGGGGCTATGACAATTCAAGCCTGAATTGTTATGGAGTGTATGTCTCCAGTTCCTAAATTTTGGCTGATTAAAACTAATAGTCTTTAGTTAAATTTTATACAGTCCTATTTAAAAATTGTTCATTATAAAAGCTAAAACTAGATTAATTCTTAAAGACAAAAAGCACTATTATTCTTATGTTACATAAATGTGTAAGCTGATTTTGTGTGGCTTGCTTAACAAGTTTTATGCTACACCCAAAATTATTTAAATATAAAAATTCAGAGCCAGACTGGACTTTTGCTGCAGTGCACAGAGCAGAGTTTGAAGTGACTTTGCAAGGAATGTGACAGGCCCAAAAAGGGCCTATTTTTTTCATTTCTTGTCCATGTTTTGGTCAGAAAGGCAAGCTGAAATTGAAATAAAATTGAAAATAAAAACAGCCAGAAGACTTTTCTGCTATCCCGTTTCCAGCTGTAGCAGTGGCATTGGATTGATGTTTTCAGGTAAGGTGGTTTTCTCTTTTTATTTTTTTTTTTTATTTTTTTTATGAATTATGGAATATTTTCTGTAATTGTATAACTTTAGACATTGTGTTAAAATGTAAATTCTAATCATGCCATGGATTCTACTTCTAATGGTGTGATTTCTATAACTAATATGAATTTGTTAATCAATTAGGAATTTTAACCAGAAAGCTTGTTTATGAACTTTTTAAACCGAAACTATAGACCAGATTGCGTTGCTTTGTGGTCTTTCATATAGCAAAAATGAGGAATTATTCAAAATGAAGGTCATAATTTGGCCACAGAACCACAATGCTAAAAATTACCAAGCAAACTTTAACTCTTTGTTTTCCTTAGGTAAAACTAGATTTAGAACACTGACATGGAAAAGACAGTAGTGATTCTAGAGAGAATCCTAATCACAAGAGCTCTTGAAAATAAAACTGCAGACCCCACCATGCCTGACAAGGTGCCTTTTGACTGAAGCTTTGCATCCAAGCAATGGTTCTTGCATGACTTTTGTACTATAAATGGAAAAAATGGGACCTGAAGTTAGAGGAGTGCAGATATTTGATGCAACACTATAATAATAGAGCAAAGAATAGTATCAAATTCTTGGATCTGAGCACAAATCATGCCTTCAGATTCAGATCATTACTTCAATATACAGGTAAGACACTGTCCTGGGTTCAGCAGTAGCAGTCATTTTCCTCCTTCTTAGTAGCTGGTGCAGCACTGTGTTTTTGACTTTCAGCCTGGAAACAGTGATGATAACACCGATGTTTTCACTTGCTGCTCAGTAATGTCTACTCCGACAAAAGACTTTCTGAGTCTCATGCTCTGCCAGGGAGGAGGGGAAGCCGGGAGAAAACAGAGACAGGACACCTGACCCAAACTAACCAGAGGGGTTAACCAAGGCAGGTCATGCCTAGTGTATAAGCTGCAGGCAATTACCCAGAAGGGCTAGATTGCTGCTCTCAGACTGGGTATCGATCAGCGGGTGGTGAGCAGTTGTATTCTCTTCCCTTGTTATTTCCCTTATCGTTATTATCACTGGTGGCAGCAGCAGTGGTTTGTGCTATACCTTAGTCACTGAACTGTTCTAATCTCAACCCGTGGGAGTTAAATTCTTTTGATTTTCCTCCCCATTCCTCTGGGAGTGGGGGGAGGAAGGGCGTGCAAGAGTGAGCGAGTGGCTGCATGGTTCTGAGTTACCAGCTGGGCTTAAAGCATGACAGTTCTTTGTGGCGCCCAACGTGGGGCCCAAATGGTTGAGATAACAACAGATCTGACCAGAGTGTGTCTAACTGTATTTGTGATAAACATTCATTGTTTTGGATTAACAGTCACTCGTCACAATGCTGATTTATTGGCTCTCAAAGTTGTTGCTCTTGATCTTAAAGTTTCAGCATGTCGTACCTTACTTACAGCCGGTATTTGATAATTTAGTGTTTATTGGCTGGGGGGGCTTGGGCTAAGGTTCTTGTTTTGCTGTACTTTATGGTAATGATTTGTAATACAATAGACTCATTAATCATGAAACTGATTTGGCTTGTGTTCCCAGTGTGGTCACTACTTCTATACTTTGGGAGGTATATGATGGAAGTGTTTAGCAATGACATGTCTTTTTTTTCCTTATTGGGTGGTCAACCTATGAAGGAGACATTCCTTCACACCCTCTGCTCCCCCTCCAGCCTATTTACAGCATCATTTGAGAGTTCTGAAGGTTTTGAATGGCCTTTGGATACCCTTGAGACCTGCCTGCTGATTGTGATGAGCATCATCAGGTTGGCACATCTAAAAAGTGTGTTGTACCCATGACCATTTCATCTGGTCTGCAAAATTAAGCAGAGTCAGGTTTGGGTCTTGTCTAGAGTTAGACAACAATAAAGGAGAACCAAGAGGTTTTCCCCGAGTCTGGACAGTCATGAGTGGCAGGGTGTGTGGGATAGTATGGGCAAGTATCTAGGCCAGTGGGCACCTCCAGTGCTTTGGAACTACATCCCCGAACAAGTGCAAAATGCAGAAAAATTAGTAAAACGCTTAAATGAGGTACGTTGTCATCCTGGTCATACCAGAGAGGGACAAATCATGGCAACATGCTGGGGCTTGGCCTATGCTTACAGGGGCTTGTTCAACAATATCCAGCACCTTCAAAGGGAAAAAAATGTGTCTGGATCTGATGGCAAAGCAACAGACAATACAAGTACTCCAACTCCAAATACAGCAGCTATTCAAACTCTAACTACAACAGACAATGCAGCTAATCCAATTCCAAGAACAGCAACCACACCAACCCCAGCGACAAGTACAGCAGCTACCCAAACCCCAACAGCAACAAACAGTGCAGCTGCTGGTGCTACTCAAACCCAAAGCACAGCAGCTGCACCAACCCTGACAACAAATGCTGCAGCCACTCCAGCCACAGCGATAATCACTGCAGCTAAACCAGAGGACCAATTCATGCCAGTATCAGTTGCCCCTGTACACAAGGAAAAAAAGCAAAAAAGAGGAAATAAGTGAAGAAAGATGAAGAACCAATGCACTTACTACCTGGGAAAGCATCTGATCAAAAGTTATTATGATGTGAATCAGAGGAAGAAGAAGAGGTGACTTCTTGACCCCAGACCTCAACTGAGCTACACAATATGTGAAAAGACTTTACCCATCAGCCAGGGGATCACATCATCACCTGGTTGCTCTAATGTTGGGACAATGGGGCCGATGGTCACGAACTAGAAGGTAGGGAAGCTGAGCAGCTGGGATCACTTGCTAGAGAAGGGGGAATTGACAAAGCAATTGCAAGAGATAAAAAGTCCCTCAGCCTTTGGAGGCAGCTCTTGGCAGCTGTGAAAGAAAGGTTTCCATACAAGGACAATGTTGAGTCATTCAGCCAACTGGACCATGCTAGAGAAAGGCATCCAGTCTCTGAGGGAATCAGCTATTGTAGAGATGATCTATTGCAGGCCAGATGCCAGGAATGCACCTATAGATCCAGGTGAAGTACACGACCCATGTGGCAGAAATTTACACGGAATGCACCACCATCATATGCCCACTCACTGGCAGCAATAACCTGGAATGACACAGTACCACCAACAGTGGATGAAATGATTCATCAACTCCAAGAGTTCAAAGACAATCTCACCACCTCCATCATTTCAGCTGTGGAAAAACTGTCCCAGGACCTCAAACAATTGAGAGACGATCTATCTGATCTATCCATCTCCTCATGTGTACCAACCCATGTCTCAGCTATTAACAAAAGGCATCCTACTGCTTGAGAGAGAAGATATAGGAGGTATAAGCCATGGGTCACCCTATGGTTTTACCTTTGGGATCACAGAGAAGACATGAGAAAGTGGAATGGAAAACCTACCTCAGCTCCGCAGGAACGGGTGTGTGAATTGAAGAGGAGAACAGAGGTCAAGGCTGATCATCACATGAAAGCTGCGGCTTCAGTCTCTGGTGAGCAGGTTCCCAGATGGAGTGGAAGAGCTGATTTTACTCCAGCTCCTATGATTAAGAAGATGAATCCCTGTCTACAAGATGTAAGTGACCACTGTTGTGATGACTATTAGAGGGGCTCTGCCTCCAGCCACGTGGAGGTAGGGGACAATCAGATTTACTGGACTGTGTGGATCAGATGGCCTGGCACATCAGTCCCACGGAAGTATAAGTCTCTAACAGATACCGGTGCACAGTGTACCCTGATGCCATCAAGCTGTCGAGGAGCGGATCCCATTTATATTTCTGTAGTTACAGGAGGATCCCAAGAGTTAACTGTACTGAAGGCTGAAATCAGCCTGACGGGGAGGAAGTGGCAAAAGCACCCCATTGTGACTGGTCCAGACGCTCCATGCATCCTCGGCATAGACTACCTCAGGAGAGGGTACTTCAAAGACCCAAAAGGGTACTGATGGGCTTTTGGTATTGATGCTTTGGAGACAGAGGAAATTGAGCAGCTGTCCACCTTGCCTGGTCTCTCAGAGGATCTTTCTGTTGTGGGGTTGGTGAAGGTCGAAGAACAACAAGTGCCAATCGCGACCACAACAGTGCACTGGCGGCTATATCGCACCAGCCAAGACTCCCTGATTCCCCTCCATAGGCTGATCCATAGACTGGAGAACCAAGGAGTGATCAGTAGGACCTGTTCACCCTTTAACAGCCCCATATGGCCAGTGTGAAAGTCTAACAGAGTGGAGACTAACAGTAGGCTGAGTGAATCATAGAATCATAGAATAGTCAGGGTTGGAAAGGACCAACGTCCCTCTTGTTCCAACCCCCCCTGCCATGGGCAGGGACACTTCACACTAAACCATGGCACCCAAGGCTCTGTCCCCCTGGCTTTGAACACCGCCAGGGATAGAGCATTCACAGCTTCCCTGGGAAACCCATTCCAGTGCCTCACCACCCTTACAGTAAAGAACTTCCTCCTTATATCCAATCTAAATTTCCCCTGTTTCAGTTTTAACCTGTTACCCCTTCTCCTACACTACAGTCCCTAATGAAGAGTCCCTCCCCAGCATCCTTATAGGCCCCCTTCAGATACTAGAAAGCTGCTATGAGGTCTCCACACGGCCTTCTCTTCTCCAGGCTGAGTTAAGTCACACCACCATTGAGTGCTGCCATACCGGACATGCTAGAACTTCAATATGAACTGGAGTCAAAGGCAGCCAAGGAGTGTGCCACAGTTTATATTACCAATGCATTTTTCTCAATTCCTTTGGCAGCAGAGTGCAGGCCACAGTTCGCTTTGACTTGGAGGGACATCCAACACACTTGGAACTGACTGCCCCAGGGATGGAAACAGAGCCCTACTGTCTGCCATGGACTGTTCCAGGCTGCACTGGAACAGGGGCAAGCTCCAGGAACCTGCAGTACATTTTGATGACATTATTTTGTGGGGTGATACAGCGGAAGACGTTTTTGAGAAAGGGAGGAAAATAGTCCAAATCCTGCTGAAAGCCAGTTTTGCCATAAGACGGAGTAAGGTCAAGGGACCTGCCCAGAAGATTCAATTTTTGGTTAGTTACTGGACTGTTCTTAACTCATTGGAATTACATTCTTGCGATTCTCCTCTCCATCACTCCGGGAGTAGGGGGAGGAAGCGCATGGGGGAGTGAGTGAGTGGCTGCGTGGTTCTGAGTTACCTGCTGGGCTTAAACCACAACAGAGACTTAGCATTTAGTCATTTTTTTTAGCATATAGCTTGAATGCAATACATTAAATGGCCATTAGCTCATTTGTATGACTTTGCACAGCTCAATCTCAGCAAATTTAAACTTTAGGTATGTCTATGAAAATATTATCACCTGGGAAATGTGTTCTAAGTGTTCACATTCAGCCAGAAGTGAATCTCACCAGATTCTGTCTCTCTTGTCTTCCAAAAAATAAAAGCACTTCACTTTGGCTGTTATGAAATCTTCTAAGTCTCTTTCAATTTGGCAATATCCATACATGTGTTATCTTTTGTCAAATACCTTAGCACTGACTTACTTTAAAGCCTAAAGATAGCTATAAATGTGAAGCCTATATATTCACCTGTAACTTTGATTTGATGTCTTAATATTCATTTGAGAAGTGGGTAGCATTCCAGTGATTTAATTGGCTATGCCAATTAAAAAAAATATGAAAATATGTGTACATGGTCGTGTTATATCAGCTGCACAGGACAGGACTTGGTCTTCTCTATATAGGTGAGAGCTGAGATTTTCAAATGTGCCTTGGAGGTCTAGGAGCATAAATCTTTCTAGTTTCCCAGAGGCACCTGTATTCATAAATGTTGTAATCTTTGGGAAATATGTCTTTGAAGGGCTTTGTCCTCCTGATTATGTCAAATTCTTGTCCAGACACTGTTTTCCTTAGTGAGTTGAACGCCGCTAACAACACAACCATGTACATACACGTATTTTCAACAAGTGGCCAGTTAGGATGAAGTCCCAACTTCAACTAGCCAAGACAAGTTACTGCAGAATTACCCTTCTCCAGTCTGGGTGAGAGATGTTTATCTTGGTGATTATGCTAATCTCCTAAACAACTTTACCATGCAAACTTTTCCCGATAACTTGCTTTACAAGACAAGTCTCACAAAAATCTGCAGTATTTTCCACACAATTAAAATAATTGTGTGAGCTACACCTAACCTACCTGGGGAGGTTGGAAAGAATTCGAGGTATTCTTGACACTGCACTACTTGATCCTATGCTGAGCAAGCACCCTGCTGATATCGGAGAGTAAGACTAAGATTTATAGCTGATCATGTTGGGAGTAGGTGACCTATCAAAATGCCTACATAGTTCCATGAGGAAATTCTTTCATGGAAAAACTATGCATACCCTTCAGGAATACTAAAATCTTGACAGTCAATTTATTAGTTTCAGGCCCAGTTATTAGTTTCAGTGGTAGCTGTTTGAATTTCTGTCTCTTAAAGGAAAACTAAGCAACTGTGCTGCTGCCATTGATGCTTGTGTACCCTGCAAACGTACTGACAATCTTGCTCTGATTGCTGTGGCCTGAATTATTCCCTCCCATAGCAACCAAATGAGTCCATCATCTGCACATAAGCCTGTCGTTCTGGGTTCTTACTGGACAATGACTTGCAGCTTAATAGTTGAACTCTGGTCTCTGATCCCAAGACTATTGTTATTGGTCACTGGGGTAAGAAATCAAAACCAGTTCCAGCCATCAGCCAGGAACTTGGAACTCTATTTTCCCCCTTGCAGTGCTATTAGGTTGAACAATCATGCTCCCCCATGCGTGCTGTATTTTTGGCATCATTTCCCTGTGTACATGGCTAACAGCAAGTATTTCAGCATTAGGGAAGTGGAGACAGGAACGTGCACACTCAGCTTTATAAGCTAACAGTTAGGGTGCTCCCCTGAGAAAAAGGTTTGGATTTAGGCTGTGACGGAAGTTGAACATAGGGTTTGTGCTTTCTGAGTGCTCTGACTAGTAGACTGTACTGCCAATGATCAGCATGCCTAGCAACAGCTGGTTTTGGAAAACTGAAGTAGCTACACGTACATTTTAAAACTTGAGAGGCACTTAAGATTCCTTTTAACCTGACTCTGTGTTCCAGGCTGACAGATCTTAGGAAACTGATGCGCCAGTTCACTATTAACTTACGAGAGAGCTGAGTAGTTACTTGCATTGGCCAGAGCAGCCTCGTAAGGCTCAGAAGGAATGTTGAAAGAACACAGCAAAGGCAATGGTTACAAAAGGAAACACAGGAAATTCCATTTAAACACAAGAAAAAAAGTATTTTACTGTGAGGATGGTAAACCACCACCTCTGTTCTGTGAACAGAGAACAAAGCAGGAAAACATCACAATACTGTTGTACCATTCTTAAATCTCAAATACATGTGCTTCTGGTCATTTGTCTCAAAGACCAAAGTATAAATAATACACAGAGAAATTCAACAGTAGTGATCAGAAACAATTATTAAGTTCTATATAAGGGAAGCTGAATAGGACATTCCTTCACAGTAAGAAATGATTAAAGATGGATAGGGCATAAAATCAGTCATATAAAAATGACGATTCATTGTTTCTCAGAAGTGCAAAGGCTATATAGTAATCTGAAACAAACAAAAGGAACATTTTTTTTACAGATTGCTTAACTGAATTGCTGAACATTGCTAGAGAATGCTTTCAAATCAATAGCATACATAGGTTTAAAAAGTGTCTAGACAAATACATGGAGGATATGTCCATTGCTCTTGAATTCTATGGCTTGAAATGCTTTAACAACTGACTGTCAGAAATAAGGACCACTTTTTAATATCCTGTTTCTCACACTCTGTCTCAGAACAGTCACAACTGGTCATTCTACAGAATGATGAAATAGATGGACCTTTGGTCTGACCAGTGTGGCAGTTCTTACAGTCTTGTGATCGACACTTTCTTTGACTGTGTTCAGTGTTACGCTGAGGCAATATCAGTTGAGCAATATGAGAAGTTTGGTATAAAAATAACATCCTTTTCAAAGTATTCTTTCCGTTTGTATCTGACATCCCTCTACTGTGGCAGGCATTGCCAGTAGCTAAAAATACACGAGCCCATAAATAACATCAACACCAATCATGTGGCAGTGATCCGCTTGTACCATACTTGTCCACATCATTTCTGTTATCAGTTTTACTAATTCATAGTTGGCAACTGCTTTTCCCAAGTTCTCTGATAGAAGTATGGCATCACCACATACACTGAAAACTAATAAAATCAGGCTTTGTTACTTTAAAACTAGAACTATAAATTCTTAGTCAAAAACTCCTCACTAAGCACACTCTGCTATGAATCCATTCCTAACAAAAAGAGGGATTGATTAATTGGTCTTCTGATCATTACTGTGGGAGCATTACAAAGGGAGAAAGACACTTTTTAAATGAATGGCTCAAAGATAAATTCAAACAAGTCCCTTTATACCCTTGCACTAGGTTAGTGAGGCAAGAGGAGCAAACTTTGCAACACAGATATATCAGTGCAAACATTGTGTTTACTACACATTTTTAATGGTTTTAATATCTTTGTTTTGGGAGTGCTAATTTATTTGCACAACATAACTACCTATAAGGTAAATATACAATAGCTGTGATAATCCCTGAAGCATTGTGTATTTGTGGTACAATAACATATTACAGCAGTGAAAAGTGGCTGCATATGTGAGAAATCAATTCATTACATTTCTCTAATTCCGATGGCTGCCGGACTGTGGCTACAGAATGATACAAAAGACAAAAATGGTTTTCTTCTCATAAAGGAACTCTCAATAAGAAAACTAAGCAGCTATCAGGTGGTGCCTAGGAATTGATATAGAAACAGAAGGACTTCCTACCTTGTGCACTCAGTTTTGCAAAAGAACCAGGAGCATGTGTATGCTTAAGGGCATGTTTATCTGAAGAATTTGTCAACAGCAGCCTACCAATTTCTATAGCAAGAATGTATTGTGCACAAATAAATCAACAGACGAAATCAGACACTAGATTTAACAAGTGCATAAAATGAGTCTATTTTTAATGTATGCTAAAATATTTCTTTTGATATTTAGGTTGAATAAATTAAACTGGTACTTTCTATGTAACCCTGTGACCTCTCAGTGGTTTTATTTTCAGTACAGTGTTTTGAAAAAAGAAAAAGAAGAAATTTCCCTCAGGATCCTTAAGTTCTTCTGTGAAAGATCTGAACTGAGATAGCTGGAGGCAACAAATAGCACAGTTCCCAATTATGATACCATTCACTGTGCTACTATTTGAAAAGTACTATTTGATTGTCATTCCATAAACATCACCTGTTTAAATGGCTGAAGATTTCTTTTGCTATCAAGTTCTTGTTTCATTCTGCGAAATGCATGGTCTTGAGTTTGACCTATTATAAAACTACAAAATATGTCCTGTGTTTAAAATGCAACAGATTAACAGAACTTGTAACCCATATTAAATTTATATTTCTGATTTTGTTCCATAAATAAGACATATTTTGTTCATCTCTTTGATTTAAACTTAAGGCAAGCCTGTAAAAATAACATATATGCTAAAGACCTCTAGGGTTCAGTCATGGTGGACTGAAAGCATCTGGTGTCTTTTGAACATGGTTTCTGGGCAGTCTCAAGTAGAGGTGAGACATCACCTGTAAATCCTGAGTCAAAAGGACCCAGTCAAAAAATTATGGCCATATATTTAATCACATAATTCATATGAGTAGCAAACACCTTTTGACTCAGTTGTCACTGCTGAGGTGATGGCTATGAATGAAAAAAAACCAAAACAATTTCTTTTTCTCTGAAGGACTTCCTGGGAACTGAACTATTTGATACAGATGAATGGCTTCCTGTGTTTTGTATGCTTTGGAGCTTAATACCATACCATTACTTGTGTTGTGTTATCCTGACATTAAAAATAAGTTTTTATCTTTCTTTCTGCACAACAAATGTATACTTAATCTATGTCCATCTGTCTTATGGTACATCTATATGCAGGTAAACTACAGATGTGTATCTGAAGAGAGAATTGGTATTCCACTTGATGAAAACATTTATAATTCAGGTCCCAGAAAACTAAGATCAACAAACTATCATAAGGATTCAAAAGTAAGTCTTCTGTAATAGTTCCATGGTTACTGGACATACCTTAAAATGAATTATTTTACTATTGTTTATTTCATACATAGTGTTGTTTTTTTATCCATAATGTACTTTAATAATCAGCATTTTGAAAAGCAGACTGTACAGATAGGACAGTTCAGCAGTGTGCTTGTTGGAGCTTATTTTCTTTCAGTTAAAACCTCTCGATAACATGCTATTAGAGGATACATATTTTTACATCATACTCTGAAGGATAAATATTATATTAACAGAAAGGATAGACAGTGGGGCAAAACAGGAATTGAAATATAAAATCAGGTAACTTCAATGTAAATGCTTAAGTTACAGTAATTAATGAGGAAAGCACCTGTGTCAGAGTTTCCACTTCAGATTTATTCTCATCGCCACTGGCAGAGGTACTGATAAGATGTCATGAGTTAAATTAGAAAGATGGGAGAGGACATCTGTAAACCTAGCCAAGACACTGTTACAAAACAACTGGCATAGTGTGTCAGTCTTGATAATTCTGAAATGGTAACACATATGGGGGAAAAAAATAGCTTTTGCATCAAAGTTTTCCGAATGAGACTTTTAAACAGATAGAATCATAGAATATTTAGGGTTGGAAAGGACCTTAAGATTATCTAGTTCCAACCCCCCTGCCATGGGCACCTCACGCTAGCCTATGTCACCCAACACTGCACCCATCCTGGGCTCGAACACTGCCAGGAATGGATCATATTGTGTGTTAATAATCCAAAAAGTTAACAGAGTTGATGCCATACCGAGAATCAGAATTTTTCCTCTATGAAAATGTCATGAAGAATGTGCTCACAAGTATTTTTTTATATTCATACCTGCCTCTCCATGTTCTTGGCTTTTGTCTACACTACAAAAGGTTTCTAACTGTAAAGATCTCCTCCTTATAGACTTTCTGACAGCTACAGCATAGGTTCACTTTCTGCTTGTCCTAGGAAAGGCCCTATATATGGCTTGTCACCATACTGTCAGTCTAAAGAAACAGAACTTTGGCAATGAGATAAGATGGAGCTGACTAAAGGCAATCTCAGATGAGCAGCTGGGTCATTGAGGTAGGGCTGGCTTAAGGCATGAGTACAGAAAGCTGTTGCTTAGCCCAGACATTCATGGGGGCAGCAGAGAAGCTTCCCCAAGACTGTCCACCCCAGAGACCTTCATTAGTACCAGTAGGCTCTGGACTCACTGCTTATGCCCTTGGCCCCCATATGCATATGCCTTTATTCCTGCTCCCATGCTACTGAAGGGAAAGGCTGATGCAAGTAGCAGTATTTTCTCCAGCAATGAAAAGTAGGAAGATGGCATAGAAGCTCGTGTTTCCCCTTGCATTCCCTTCTCATCCTTTGTTTCAGCAGGGGAAGTTGAATCCATCCAGTACTGGTATTATGGTTTCCAGAGAGTCCTTTAGGAATTTCAAACACAGCTCATTTTTTCTCCCCTAATGGAACAATCTTCTACTGGAAAATTCCATCTCAATAAAAGGAAGAATATTGTCAACACTTTGACAGAAAATTACTGAAATTTTAAAACGTCAGAATTTTTGGATGTAGTAATATTAGTGGAAAAAATAAAGTAGAGATGAAATTTTTAAATATTAACAAAAGCATTTTTGTAAGTCTGGAAAAACTTTTTTTAGCATCAGGTTCTTTGAAAAATCCTAAGATGAAAGATTTTTCCTGATTAGAAGTGAAATGAAATGTTTGGCCTTATATCTGCTATTATCTGACTTGTAGCAAATATCATCATTTTGAAATCACCCACACCATATAGCAATATTGTAATTGGTTTACTCATAGCTTCTTCTGTAAGGTCTGGTATTCAGCATTTAGTCAAGAAACTGAGGTAGAATTAGTTTTCATGCCCTTTCCACAGATTCCTGAATTGTATAAGAGGGGTACTGTACTAGGTGTACAGTTGAATGCAGTTGCATTAGTGTCAAGCTGAATGCAACTGTATCTTGGCTGAGAACATGCCTTCACTTTTGCTTTCTCAGATTGTACAGAGAAAGTAATAAATAAACCAGAATTATCAAAATCATTGCCTCTAAGCTAAATTCTGGTATTTAGCTAGACACACAACCAGTATTAGTGTAAGGACTGCACAAGGATCATTGTGCTCAAATTGAAAGGAGACATTCCAAACCACCACCAAGGTTTGAAAAGCTTAATGAATGCCTGAAATAACCAGAGCATTTTTTCTTTTTTTTTTTTTCTTAAATGTAGACATATAACAACATACAACTTAAATTTCAGGTTCTAAGAATGATGTATCCAATTACAATGCTTTCAATCCCTTTCCAACTTAAGCATTTCAGGTCATAGAATCATAGAATCATGGAATAGTTAGGGTTGGAAAGGACCTTAAGATCATCAGGTTCCAACCCCCCTGCCATGGGCAGGGACACCTCGCTCTAAACCATATCACCCAAGGCCTTGTCCAACCTAGCCTTGAACACTGCCAGGGATGAAGCATTCACAACCTCCCTGGGCAACCTATTCCAGTGCCTCACCACCCTAACAGGAAAGAATTTCCTCCTTATATCCAATCTAAACTTCCCCTGTTTAAGTTTTAACCCATTACCCCTTGTCCTATCACTACAGTCCCTAATGAAGAGTCCCTCCCCAGCATCCCTATAGGCCCCCCCTTCAGATACTGGAAGGCTGCTATGAGGTTTCCATGCAGCCTTCTCTTCTCCAGGCTGAACAGCCCCAACTTTCTCAGCCGATCTTCATATGGGAGGTGCTCCGGTCCCCTGATCATTCTCATGGCCCTCCTCTGCACTTGTTCCAACAGATCCATGTCATTTTATGTTGAGGACACCAGAACTGCACACAATACTCCAAGTGAGGTCTCACAAGAGCAGAATAAAGGGGCAGGATCACCTCCTTTGACCTGCTGGTCACGCTCCTTTTGATGCAGCCCAGGATACGGTTGGCTTTCTGAGCTGCAAGCGCACACTGAAGCTGGCTCATGTTCATTTTCTCATCAACCAGCACCCCCAAGTCCTTCTCCACAGGGCTGCTCTGAATCTCTTCTCTGCCCAGCCTGTAGCTGTGCCTGGGATTGCTCCGACCCAGGTGTAGGACCTTGCACTTGGCATGGTTAAACTTCATGAGGTTGGCATCAGCCCACCTCACAAGTGCGTCAAGGTCCCTCTGGATGGCATTCCTTCCCTCCAGCGTATCAACCGAACCACACAGCTTGGTGTCATTGGCAAACTTGCTGAGGGCGCACTCAATCCCACTGTCCATGTTAGCAACGAAGATGTTAAACAAGACCGGTCCATTAGAAATCTTTCATTTCCTTATTTTGCCATGGTTACTGAAGTCAACCAGAAGACAGGCTGGGAAGTCAAATGTGAGGATAATTTGAAATTAGAAATTATAAAACATTTGTGATCCCAATATGTCCATAGCAAAACCCAGTAACTTCAGAGAAACCAGGAATCACAGTCTTTAAAGGTCATTGCATAATAACAGAAGCCAGGAATCTTTCTGAGTATTACTCTAAGAAAAGCATCCCTTTTCCCCCAAACTGTGACTGTTCTCATGTATGTGCTTTCACTATAGTTTGTGATTACAGTGGATTCTCTATACAGTTATTTTGCAACATTAATTGGGAATCTATTTCCCCTTGCCTTCCCCCCAAGAAGGAGCTAGACAACAAACAAAACACACACACACCAAACCCACAACCAACAAAAAACAAAAAAACAAAACCCACAAACAACCCCACCAAAAACACCAAACAACAACAACCAACACACCCCCAAAACCAACACCAAAAAACAAACCCCCCCACCCCCAACCACAAACCACCCCAAAAAACAACCCAACCACCACAACAAAAAAAACACCCCAAAAAACAACCCAAAAAAAAAACCAAAAAAAAAAAACAAACCAAAAAACCCCAAACAACACAACACCCCAACCCAACAAAACCACACCCAACCACACCCCCCAAACAAACACCCCCCAACACTGAACTAAACTATAAGGCTGTGCGCAGACACTCTCAAAAAGTCACTTCCTGTAAAAACTGAGAACAGCATTTGCAGTGTGAAGAAGAAATGGTACTATAATAGGATAAACCAGAAGCTAATTGATAGTAGAAGGCTTTCAAGGCAGTGTAAGACAGGAAGGAGGATAGTAAAAACACTAAGAATGTATTTGGGTTGAGGGAACCAAGTTGTGTAGGGCCTTGCAAGTACAGAGGTTAGTCCTATAGCAGCAAACTAGTGTTGGGTATGAGCAGAATGGCAGGTGAGAACATAACCTAAGCACAAATCATTTGGGTGTGCTGAAAGGAATCAGGAGGAATGCAGTAAAGACAGAAAGATAGAAAGAGGGCAACTGCACGAGTAAAGGATGGAGATGAGCTTGACTGGATCTATGGTTACCTAGGTGAGAAGGTCAGGGAAGGGATTTAGTGCTGTTCCATGTGATATATAAAAGGTAACAGGAAAGCATAAATCATAATCCCAGTGATATGGGATTATGAAAAGTGAGAAGCACAGAGGAAAGCAGGAAGGGATCAGAGCTGCAGCTTTTCTCACTGGAATTAGTCTTGTTTTCCTTTATCTCTAGTTGCCCTAGAATTCTCTCATGCCTGCAAAGCCCTGTAAGATCTTTAGGTGATCATGGATTTAGTGTGGCATTGTCTCCAGTTTCAGGAGACCTCAGCAAGTGCTTACTGGCAGCTGGCAATTCTGTTGTCCCCATACATATGCATTAAATTGAATGGTTATGGTACTAAATATTTGAAATACGAGAGAATGTCTTGGAATCAGTGAGCCTCAAACACCTAGAAAAACTCAAAAGCCTAATAGGCAACAAACAGAAGTGGATAAAAAATCAAGACCACAGTTTTTCTATGAACTGCCGCAAGAATGTGAAGAATGCATGTGACATCTCCTGCTGCTGTTTATATTATACTATGCTGCTTTTATTATTCTATTTTATATATATATTATACTATGTTTGCCAAATGAGTGGGGGTTAGATTGCTTATCCAGCTTACGCTTCAGTACTAGGCTCCACACAGGTTTCATAGCATCCTGAGCCAGCTGCTGACCTAAAGATACAAGTCCACAGCTACTGAAATGTCTCAGTAGTATGAGTAACACCTATAGCTGCCTGCAAGAAATTTGGGCTTCTTTTTGTCCAGCACTGATGATTCTTGATCAGACTGAGCTGGAGCCTATGAAAGATGACTGACTGGAGAGTGGACCATGGACCCTGCATGACATGCTGGATTTTTGTTCTCTTTCCTGTGAAGCTTCAGTTTATATATTTGGACAGTCTCTCACAGTCAGCAGCTTGCTCCTGATCCTTGAGCACTGTATTAAAGACAGGATTCTAAACAATCCAGATGCCTCTGTCAGTGGTGATTGTAATCTGTCGCCTAATGGGAGACAGTGCTCAGTGCCTCACAGGAATCAGACAGAGGAAAAGTTGGGGGGAGGAATTAATCCTTTTTCCTATCTATCTGTGAAACCAAACCCTACATCCAGTGCATCCAGTACATCTGGGAAAACAAAAACTTGAAAGTATTTTTTAACTGTTTTTTTGGGCCTTCTAATTTTACAGATAGTGATGAAGTGCCAAGAAAATAAAAAAAAATCGAAAGACTGTTTAGGAAAAATACACCAGACTACCATATATAATCCAGAGTCTATGTTCTTAAACATAGGTAAGTCTTAAAATTTAAAATTAAAATAATTATTATGACAAAAATATGGATATAAACCACAGTTCCAGAACTAAACACTATTTACCATTAAGACAGTTTCAATATAAATCAAAATATCTTTTCAACAACACATTTATATTTTATATTTTGGGCACATACCTGAACAGGATAAATTGGGAGTTATATTTTATGTAACTTTGTCATGTAACATGTAATCTTCTAAGCAGAACAAAATTTCTTTTGCTGAGTTCCCAGATTGTTCTCATCTGAGAGAAAAAGGCCATAGTCTTCTATCTCTGTGCTGAGAACAATTTAGGTTTTGAAGTAATACATTCAATGCATTAAAACACTGATATAGAATTTTAGTAATAATTGAATAACATTTTAAATGCTTTCTGTTTCAGATTTATGTTCATGATGCTGTGACCTTTTCTGGGCAAAATATTATTTGGATCTTAGTAATTGTATTATTAGTGGGCATTATCTTTGCAGCATCTCTGAGACAAAATTAGGATGGCATCATGAAGAACAAACAAACGTAAATTCAGGGGGAACAACAAAGGCTCACCATTACAAACTTCAAATACAGCTATGGCTACTTCTGCCTAGATGTAGGAGCAGTATTTCCAAATTACATACAAGAAGATACCCAGAGAGTATGTTATTTCTTTTCCTGTTTGTGTTTCTTGAACCTCTTACAGATTCTTTATGTTAAAGTTAGCTCCTGATTCGGTAATATATTTCTAATCTTCTGAGAATTTTTACATACATAAAAAATCTTTACATATGTAAATTTTCCATTAAATTTTGAGTTATCATTCCCAAATTGGTTTTGCAATATCCAAAAACTACATGACTACAAAATATTTTATACCACCGATTTCAGAGAAGGTAAATAATATCATCCTGTTTTAGTCAGTATTAAAGACAAATAAACAGGTAGAACCAAGATATATTCTTAGAGATTTAGGACTCTATCATAATTATTTTGTTAGATTCTCTTACCTATGAGAACTGTAAACCCCATAAATAAATCATAGAATCATAGAATAGTTAGGGTTGGAAAGGACCTTAAGATCATCAACTTCAAACCCCCCTGCCATGGGCAGGGACACCTCTCTCTAAACCATATCACCCCAAGGCCTCGTCCAACCTAGCCTTGAACACTGCCAGGGATGGAGCATTCACAACCTACCTGGGCAACCCATTCCAGTGCCTCACCACCCTTACAGTAAAGAACTTCCTCCTTATACCCAATCTAAACTTACCCTGTTTAAGTTTTAAACCATTACCCCTTGTCCTATCACTACAGTCCCTAATGAAGAGTCCCTTCCCAGCATCCCTATAGGTCCCCTTCAGATACTAGAAGGCTGCTATGAGGTCTCCATGCAGCCTTCTCTTCTCCAGGCTGAACAGCCACAACTTTCTCAGCCGATCTTCATGCAGGAGGTGCTCCAGTCCCCAGATCATTCTCATGGCCCTCCTCTGGACTTGTTCCAACAGATCCGTGTCCTTTTTATGTTGAGGACACCAGAACTGCACACAATACTCCAAGTGAGGTCTCACAAGAGCAGAATAAAGGGGCAGGATCACCTCCTTCAACCTGCTGGTCACACTCCTTTTGATGCAGCCCAGGATACGGTTGGCTTTCTGGGCTGCAAGCTCACACTGAAGCCGGCTCATGTTCATTTTCTCATTGACCAACACCCCCAAGTCCTTCTCCGCAGGGCTGCTCTGAATCTCTTCTCTGCCCAGCCTGTAGCTGTGCCTGGGATTGCTCTGATCCAGGTGTAGGACCTTGCACTTGGCATGGTTAAACTTCATGAGGTTGGCATCAGCCCACCTCACAAGCAGGTCAAGGTCACTCTGGATGGCATTCCTTCCCTCCAGCGTATCAACTGAACCCCACAGCTTGGTGTCATTGGAAACTTGCTGAGGGCGCACTCAATCCCACTGTCCATGTCAGCGACAAAGATATTGAACAAGACCGGTCCCAACACTGATCCCTGAGGGACACCACTCGTTACAGGTCTCCAGCCGGACATTGAGCCATTGACCACAACTCTTTGTGTGCAGCCTTCCAGCCAGTTCTTTATCCACTGAGTAGTCCATTCATCAAATTGATGTCTCTCCAATTTAGAGGCAAGGATGTCATGTGGGACAGTGTCGAATGCTTTGCACAAATCCAGGTAGATGACATCAACTGCTCTATCCCTGTCCATCAGTTCTGTAGCCCCATCATAGAAGGCCACCAAATTGGTCAGGCAGGATTTCCCCTTAGTGAAGCCATGCTGGCTGTCACCAAGCACCTTGTTGTTTTTCATGTTCCTTAGCATGCCTTCCAGGAGAATCTGCTCCAAGATTTTGCCAGGCACAGAGGTGAGACTGACTGGTCTGTAATTCCCTGGGTCATCCAATTTCCCCTTCTTGAAAATGGGGGTTATATTTCCCTTTTTCTAGTTGTCGGGGATTTCACCTGACTGCCGTGATTTTTCAAATATGATTGACAGTGGCTTAGCAACTTCATTCACCAGCTCCTTCAGGACCCACAGATGGATTTCATCAGGTCCCATGGACTTGTGCACATTCAGATTTTTAAAATGGTCTCGAACCAGATCCGCTCCTACACTGGGCCCAAGGTCTCCATTCTCACAGTCCCTGCATCTGCCTTCCAAGACTTGGGTGGTGCGGTCAGTGCCTTTGCTAGAGGTGACCGAGTCAAAGAAGTCATTCAGAACCTCAGCCTTCTCCAAATCCTGTGTAGCCAGCTCTCCTGAGAGCTTCCTGAGGGGGCCTACATTCTCCCTAATCTGTTTTTTATTTGCTATGTACCTGTAGAATCCCTTCCTGTTATCTTTCACATCCCTAGCCAAGTTTAATTCTAACTGGGCCTTATCTTTGCTAACCTGGTCCCTAGCTTCCTGGATAACATCCCTGTACTATTCCCAGGCCGCCTGTCCTTGCTTCTACTTTCTATAAAACTTTTTTCATTTGAATTTTTCTCAGCAGCTCCTTATCTATCCAAGGAGGTCTCCTGGCTCTCCTGTTGCACTTCCTTCTAGTTGGGATGCAATACTCCTGAGCTTGTAGCAGGTGATCCTTGAAGACCAACCAAGAGTCTTGAGCCCCCTGCCCTCTAGGGCTATATCCCACAGAACCTTACTAAGCAGCTTCCTGAAGAGGCCAAAGTCTGCTCTTTTGAAGTCTAGGGCAGTGAGCTTGCTGCACGCTCTTCTCACTGTCCTAAGGATCTCAAATTCAACCATCTCATGTGTGATGAAATGAATGTATGTGTGTATGAAATGGTGTACACTTACACCTTTAGTAGCAATGTCCATGTGTGCTCTTAGCCGTGTTTATTTACCTCCACTGGTGTCCATCAGGCAGCCACACAGCAAAGGCTTTAGGGCCCTGTGGCATGTGTAACAGCATTCACACTACACTTCAACGCACTGGGGTGTGAAAGCTGCCAGACCCCCTTTGCACCTCACTGCCATAGACCTTACTAGCAGGCACACCATTCCTAGCCTTCTTCTTCATTCACATCCGCTGATAATCCCCACATGCCAGTAATGCCTTTGCCCATTAGTTACAGAAAGTCTCTAACTTCAGAGATCAGCTTTGAGGCTGTGCATGCTACACATACTCTCTGTGAGACAGCCTGGTAGTAGATTAGTATATTGGACTAGTATATTGGAGTTGAGCACCCATGACACCTTGCAGCAGAGCATTCCATCACCTTCTTCAATGAGGTACAAAAAGCCCTCTTTTTCTTCATTGACCATTCCATCTACTCATTGGACTTCTTGCTCCTCGGTTCTTGTATTGGAGAAGACACTAAACTGAGCCTTGCTGACTTTCTTCATGCCTTTCAAGATGTTACAAACATCTGCAACGTTCTGTCTCTGACATGACGCATAAAGGAGCCAAGATGTATGGAAAATCAGGGGACTAGGCTGGGAACGTAGAATCAGTATTTCAATGTGACTGTTGAGGCACACCTCTTCTAAAACAGTTTGTTTTTTCTAGGTGACAGTAAGAGCAAAAACTCCAATTTTGCATTTGGTCTACTTAGCTTCGCTTTTGGCTAAAGAAATGCAATACGAGGACATCTGTTGGAGGGACAGTACGGCCTGGCACAAGCAATCCAGGAGGTTCTTTGATTGTGTGGAAGACAACTTCCTTCTGCAAGTAATAGAGAAGCCTACAAGGAGAGGTGCCATGCTTGACCTCAACAACAGGGAAGGGCTCGTTGGAAATGTTAAGCTCCAGGGCAGCCTTGGTTGCAGCAATCACGAGATGGTCGAATATGAGATCCTCAGGACAGTGAAAAGAGCATGCAGCAAGCTCACTGCCCTGGACTTCAAGAGAGTGGACTTTGGCCTCTTCAGGAGCCTGCTTAGTAAGGTTGCATGGGATATAGTCCTAGAGGGCAGGGGGCCCAAGACTCTTGGTTGATATTCAAGGATCACCTATTACAAGCTCAGGAGTGTTGCAACCCAACTAGAAGGAAGTGCAGCAGGAGGGCCAGGAGATCTCCTTGGATAGATAAGGACCTCCTGAGGAAACTTTGAAGGAAAAAAGAAGCTTTGGAAAGGTGGAAACATGGACAGGCAGCCTGGAAAGAGTACAGGGATGTTGTCCGGGAAGCTAGGGAAGAGGTTAGGAAAGCTAAGGCCCAGTTAGAATTAAACTTGGCTAGGGATATTAATGATAACAGGAAGGGATTCTACAGGTACATTCCAAATAAAAAACAGACTAGGGACAATGTAGGCCCCCTCTGGAAGCTGTCAGGAGAACTGGCTACACAGTATTTGGAGAAGGCTGAGGTTCTGAATGACTTCTTTGCCTCGGTCTTCACTGGCAAAGGCTCTGACCCCACCACCCAAGTCTTGGAAGGCAGACGCAGGGACTGTGAGAATGAAGACCTTGGGCCCAGTGTAGGAGAGGATCTGGTTTGAGATCATCTTAAGAACATGAAAGTCCATGGGAAGTGATGAAATCCATCCGTGGGTCCTGAAGGAGCTGGCAAATGAAGTTGCTAAGCCACTGTCAGTCGTATTTGAAAAATCACAGCAGTCAGCTGAAGCTCCTGATGACTGGAAAAAGGGAAATATAACCCCCATCTCCAAGAAGGGGAAAACGGATGACCCAGGAAATTACAGACCAGTCAGTCTCACCTCTGTGCCTGGCAAAATCTTCGAGCAGATTCTCCTGGAAGGCATTCTAAGGCACACGAAAATCAACAAGGTGCTTGGTGACAGCCAGCATGGCTTCACTTAGGGGAAATCCTGCCTGACCAATTTGGTGGCCTTCTATGATGGGGCTATGGAACTGATGGACAGGGATAGAGCAGTTGATGTCATCTACCTCAACTTGTGCAAAGCATTTGATACTGTCCCATAAGATATCCTTGTCTCTAAATTGGAGAGACATCAATTTGGTAGGTGGACCACTCAGTGGATAAAGAACTGGCTGGATGGCCACACACAAAGAGTTGTGGTCAATGGCTCAATGTCCGGCTGGAGACCTGTAACGAGTGGTGTCCCTCAGGGATCGGTGTTGGGACCGGTCTTGTTCAACATCTTTGTCGCTAACATGGACAGTGGGATTGAGTGCGCCCTCAGCAATTTTGCCGATGACACCAAGCTGTGTGGCTCGGTTGATACGCTAGAGAGAAGGAATGCCATCCAGAGAGACCTCGACACGCTTGTGAGGTGGGCTGATGCCAACCTCATGAAGTTTAACCATGCCAAGTGCAAGGTCCTACACCTGGGTCGGAGCAATCCCAGGCACAGCTACAGGCTGGGCAGAGAAGAGATTCAGAGCAGCCCTGCGGAGGAGGACTTGGGGGTGCTGGTGGATGAGAAAATGAACATGAGCCAGCAGCGTGCGCTTGCAGCCCAGAAAGCCAACCGTATCCTGGGCTGCATCAAAAGGAGTGTGACCAGCAGGTTGAAGGAGGTGATCCTGCCCCTTTATTCTGCTCTTGTGAGACCTCACTTGGAGTATTGTGTGCAGTTCTGGTGTCCTCAACATAAAAAGGACATGGAACTGTTGGAACAAGTGCAGAGGAGGGCCATGAGAATGATCTGGGGACTGGAGCACCTCCTGCATGAAGATTGGCTGAGAAAGTTGTGGCTGTTCAGCCTGGAGAAGAGAAGGCTGCGTGGAGACCTCATAGCAACCTTGCAGTATCTGAAGTGGGGCTATAGTGGTTCTGGGGAGGGACTCTTCATTAGGGACTGTAGTGATAGCACAAGGGGTAATGGGTTAAAACTTAAACAGGGTAAGTTTAGATTGGATATAAGGAGGAAGTTCTTTACTGTAAGGGTGGTGAGGCACTGGAATGGGTTTCCTAAGGAACTTGTGAATGCTCTATCCCTGGTGGTGTTCAAGGCCAGGTTGGACAGAGCCTTGGGTGCCATGGTTTAGTACGAGGTTTCCCTGCCCATGGCAGGGGGGTTGAAACTAGATGATCTTAAGGTCTTTTCCAGCCCTAAGTCTTTTATGATTCTATGACATCGAGCGTATCCCTTCCTAAATGCCCTGCCGCTGTTAACTGCAGAGCTCTTTCATGGACTGCATAGACTGGGTGCCAAGTTCTCACTTTTACTTCATTAGTTTCATATACAAAAATGGAGATCCTAGAGCCAACAGATAATTAGTAATCTCCCTAGTAGCTAGATGTGCTCACCATCTGCGTGCTAGTCTTATTACCTAGTTGTAACTTGTACTACAATCGTTCCTGCTCCGTATGTCTCGAATTATTTGCATTTTTAAGACCATCATTGTCACAAACACTGAAGTGACTCAGAACTTTTAAAACTGGAAAAGCCTATATTTGGGGTGCTGTCAGTACAATGGCTGATTCTAAAATGCTTCCTTCAAAAAGCCCATATTCCTCCTTTTTTCCAGAAGGTCTTTTCAGGTTTCTGACTTCTTTTTTTTTTTTTTAATGACATTTTTTTATATAGATGGAAAAATATTGTTAGTTTCACCAGCTTTTGTACAGGAACCTGATACTAAACTTACACAGGTCGAGCCCAATCATCCCAGATGACTACCTTAACTAAAAGTACCAGCTTACTAAGGCCCTGTGTATACGTATAGGGATGAGAGTCTGTCTGTTTTCATGTGCTTCTGTGTCTTGCTCTGGCTCTGACAACGTGCCTTCTCCATTTTTGGTGTTTCTCCCTTTTCGCTCTAAATCCACCTATTTACACAAATGGAAACAGCTTTAACAGTTTCCACAGTCATCTTAAGATGTACTAAGGTAATGAGGAATTTATTTTAATGAGAATATTGCATTGCTTAGTAATTTTTTTTATGTGATTAGGTAGAAATGTAATAGGAAAATAGGGGTATTTTTTTCTTGTCTGGATTTTTAGCGGGCTTTCAAAGCTTCTTGGAAACAAAGTCACGACATGGCACTCATACTTCCTTCCGCGCTATCCATCATTTTCTCAAAGACCAATAACCATATGGGTTGAGGAGAAGCTTGTTGCAGTCTGAGTTACAGATAAAGTACTGGAAATCTTGCGAAAAGTAGCAAAGCAAAAAGAAAAACATACAAAGTTAGCAATAGAACTCTACCAGAGAAAAAAAGGAAAATAGTCCTTGGTAACTTCTTACTAAAAAGGTTTACAGATACAGCCAACAGACACAATAATAAATGTAAAAATAGAAATACACATTTCATAGTCACAGCTAGCATAATTCAGGTGTCTTAGAGTTCCCTCTCAGAAATAGGGGAATTTTCACTATCAGATGAATAAATGACCCAGACATGTTCTCTGCATCCAATATCTTCAGCAGTGCTTTGAAATTCTTGAATCTTTGATGATGAGGCCTGCACATTTAAAGTGTAACATTTCCAGAGACATATAGGAATTCAAAACAAACACAGCCTGTGCACAGCTATGAAGTTGCACAGAATTCTCAAAGGAAGCTCTGCTTCCAAGACTAGGGTCTTTTCAGCACGGTGAAAATTAAGATGACAATATGGGTTGAAAGAAAAGAGATGACATTTCTGCTGAGGGGATTTGTATGCACATTATGTAGGAGGAAGAGTCACAGAACTTTAACTGCTGACCTTCACAGGCTCAGGTTTGTGGTTCAGGTACAAGAACAGGGCTACTGCTTCTAGAAAATCTGCCGCAGGATGTAAAAACTGAGCAGCGACATCTGAAACATGATTCATAGGACATGGCGTTAGAGATACTTTTTAGTCCTGAAGTTACGTTATTCTAAAGTTACATTCTTCTACAGCTTGCTAGCTTACTATAGAATCATAGAATCATCATAGAATGGGTTGGGTTGGGAGGGACCTTAAAGATCACCTTGTTCCGAACCCCCTGCTACAGGTAGGGATGCCTCCCACTAGACCAGGTTGCGCAAAGCCCCATCCAACCTGGCCTTGGACACTTCCAAGGATGGGGCAGCCACAGCTGATGTGGGCAACCTGTGCCAGAGCCTCACCACTCTTATGGTAAACATTTCATTTTTATATCAAATTGAAATCTATCATCTCCCCTCTTTAAGTGTAAAACAACTCCCCCTTATCCTGTCACTGCATGCCCTTGTAAAAAAAGTCCCTCTCCACCTCCTCCTTTAGGTACTATGATAAGTACCTAAAGGTATTAGATAACACCAAAAGATATTAGATATTATATAGACAGTGTGTTGGGTTGCTTGTTTACTATACAGCTGAGCTGCTTTCAGAGCTGCCTTACTATTTATACCTGTAGGTATGACCTTGTATTTGGCTGTATCTGACTGGTTCCATTTTGGAGGTGTTAAGTCAGAGCACAGCCAGGCCATCGTAGCTGACCATGGCATCCCCAACCCTGGCTGGCTAAGCTGGTCGCCCAACAGCTCTTGCATCAAAACTGTTTACAGCTCAAAATTTTAAGTACTATTGTTTGCCTTAAAAATGCAGTGATGACTGGGAGGTGCTTATGAACTCATAGACACCTGTAAAGTAGGAATAAGCCAGAAGCAGCTGCCAGTAACCTTCCCAGCTGCCTCAGGCTATGCCATTCCTTCTCCTCCATCACAGACTTCAGTAGGTGAACCTGTCTGTTTCTGACCATTCTGTCCTCAGCCATGCATGTAAGTCTTCCAGGCTCTTTGAGAAAAGCCGCATCAGCTGCTACTGGTGTATTTCCAGCTCATAATTCCTTACTGCATCCTGTATCAGCATTTGTTGTCTGTGATTGATGTCAGATAAATCGGTCTATTATTACGTGTTCTCATTTGTCCAATTCGAATACTTGCAGTCAGTCTTCGCGTCCAATAATATAAGCTTTATTAAAAATTAATATATTTCATGCTTTCTGAGATCACAGTCCTTTAGGATTCCTGTAGATTCAAGTTCTTGAGGACATGTGTACTTTAAATGTTTCTCTCTAAGAAAAGTTGTTCAATATCCATCTTAATAATGACCAGGAAGGCATTTAGTCATTGTTTATATGATACAAATACATCACACATTCTTTCAGGTACAGAACAAATTTATTTACTAAACAAATCTACTTTTTTGAATCACTATCAACGTTTTTAAATAGTCTAGATAGAATAAGCCTATAATAGTGTTAACATTCAGAAAACTTGAGCTTTCGTAAAACTTCCAATCATTCACATCCCTTGAGGCCCTCATCCATTTTTCTATGCTATAGAATTTGCAACGATTGCTAGGTTTTCGTTTTTTCTGTTTCTTGTACGTACCTATTTCAAACTGCCGTGTTCACTTTCTCACTCAACTAGAAATTTATTTTCCAGAATCTCCCCTCTTTCTTGATCACAATATGCTGACTTCTTTAGAGACATCTTTATAGACTCCCCCTACTTTGATATAGTTTTTCTGTGTAATTTTTCTTTTCACTCAGTCGTTCGTTTTCCACAGCCTTTTTTGGGGAAAAGTCAAAACGTGTCTTGGGAACAAGATGTAGCCAGTATCCATGTGTGTATATATAGTACAGATTGTAACCTTGTTTGCATATGCTGAATGTAACCATATAGAAATACTCAGGCAAGCACTGACTAATATTCTAGCAGTTAGCTTTACATAATAAAGTCTGAAATTGTTGGTTTCCCCAATATGTGGTTTTGGGGTTTTTTTGGCAGAAAGTAATTAGCTAGGAGTTTAAGGAACTCTTAATAGTGCTTTAATGCATAGCTCCAAGTTATATGTCTGATCTCATTATAACAATGTCATTTTCTTTACCCAAATTAGAAGCAGATATTGAAAGAAGAAGTTATCTTGTTCTTGGACTGCTGTGCAAGAGGCCCTTGTTTGTAAACCCAGTTTAGGCTTATTCCTATTACACTGATCCACATGCAGTTACTTTCCTGTGAATGTGAGAAGTTTAAAACTGTATTCAATACTCCATTTCCTCACTTATTACTCAATTCCTGGTGGGCCAAAACCTCTGCCAGGGCATGGTCCTCTATCATTTACAGGAACTAAGGAGCTTAACCTTTAAACTCGGCTAAGAATGGCCTCTCACAATCCCTGAAGATATTTCTTTCTGGACACAGTCCATCAAACCCCTGGAAATGGGGGGGAGGGACTGAGGTATGACCTAACACGTTTGCCTTCTAACTCATGACTCTAAGAAAAATAAACTGAGTGGGATTTTTTTCTTTAATGTCTGCTTTCCAGGATGAGTAGTTGCCCTCAGCACCCACCCTTTCTTTTGGAAGCACTGGGGTGGAAATGTTTGAAAAAAAAGATGAAACACTTCGCTAAATATAACGAGAATTGGGATAAAACCCTGACAAGTGGGCACTGTTGTTGGGCTGAGCATTTTTCAGACTGATATCAAAATAATACAGGGCCAATTAAGAGAAGCTGAACCCAAAATTTTCATATAGCAAACTATGTAAACTGAAATCTGATTGAACTTCTTGTTTTCAATTCACAAGAAGCACTGAAAGAACCAAACTGCAGTTAACAGTGTGGTCTACGCTTAGTCTGATGGCCACAAGAGGGTACAATTTGTAAACTGTAAATGACTGTAATGGTCCCACGGAGGTTTCTCTAAGTGTCCTCATTCCTTTTTGAAGTCATAAGAATCCATCTCCAGAACTGCCTGAGAGAAATTCTGGCACAGCACTGCCCAGGGCAAGTCCCCACAAGGGCTGCACAGGTTTTCAGACAAAGGTGAAAAGTGCCTTTCTGTGCATGTGCTGCGTGAGATTTCCCTTCATTTGGGCCCATAACCTGCAGTTCTGACAATCAAATCTTTTCAAAGCTTTCATTGCATTAGCCAGCACAACCAACATGCCTACAGCTACTTTAAGGGCACCCAAACAATACTCCTGAAGGCATCTGTGTTCTTAAGTAGTTCTCAGCCAACACAGCCAGGCCTTAAAGCAAAGGATGAGTGGTTTATCTGAGCCACTGGGAAACCAAGTACCAATTCTGTAGCTGAGCACTAACTTCATCACATGGCAAGCAAACTAGAAAGTGGAGAAAGGAAAACAGTGCTTGACTGGAGGCCTCCTCGTGAGTGTAATGAATTCTGGAGTGAAAGCTCATCATCTGTGTGTTTGGCTCTAACTAGCACTGATATAACTCACTTGATAAATACCAGTACTTGCCTTAAAGTATAAAAATAAATCAATCTAATAGAGTATATAAATTGCAATGAGCTTCCATGTGTGTAGTGTACCTAGAAAATAAGGTGGACTCACACAGTGGTGTGTCTGCAGGGTCCCAAATGACTACTGCCTTTGCGTATTTTAGGGAAATCTGTCAAACATATGTTCAGATGCTGGCAGCAGTGGCAAAAGCAGAGACTCGACAGCTTCTGTTTGTTACTGCGATTGTTAGATCCTGTTTCTGCCGATGGAGATCCAACAGCCGCTCAGACAGAAGCTTTAACTTTAGGCTCACCCAGCAACGTGTGACAGGGAAAAAAAAGGAAGGAAGGAAAAAACCCTTCTGCGAGATGCCCATCCCGGTTGTGCTCGCAGAGCAGCCACACAAACGCGAACCTGGGTGAACACAGCTCCCCGACGTCTCCTCCGCGGGGGGATCCGGGGCTGTGCCTTTGACATCCCCGGCCCGCGCACACGCGCGCCTGCTGGAGACCCCGTCTCGCCGCGATACCGGTCACCTCTGGCCCGGCAGCGCCCTGCGCAGAGCGCGGGAAGAGCGGGCGCCGCCGCCGGGGGCGCTGTCACCCAGCACCACCCCTCCCTGGGCCCGCGGGAACGGCCCAGGCCGGGTCCCACGGGTGTCCCGCCCGAGCAGTTCCGGCAGCGATCCCGGCAGTGCAGTGCAGTGCAGAGCGGTGTAGTGTAGTGTAGTGGTGTAGTGCAGTGCAGTGCAGTGCAGTGCAGTACGCTGCGTGGGGGCGGTGCTGGGCGCGGTGGTGCCGGTGCGGGGCTGCCAGTGCTCCCTGAAGCCACCAGTGGCGCGCCGTGTCCAGAGACGCGGACTCTACCCGGTGCCCGCTCGGGGTTGCTGTCCCTTTAAGCACTGGCGGGCGGCCCGTTCCGCCGCTGGCTGGGAGACCCCGCGCCTCCAGTGAGAGGTGAAACCAAGATGGCGCCCGCGCAGTGACTGAGGTGCAGCCGGAGGGAGCCGGGCTGGATGGGCCGCACCGTACCGCACCGTCGCTGCTCGCCCCTTCCGCAGGACAGAGCGCCTCTCTGCTGGCCGGGCTGCTGAGTGCCTGGAGCGCAGCCACGTCGCAGGGCTCGCAGAGGAGTCAGGACTGAGCCACCGCAGACCGGGAGGAGGAGGAGGAGGAGGAGGAGGACGAGGAAGAAGAACATGGCGGCGGAGTCGTAGTGGGAGTGAAGCCGCTGCCTGCGACGGGAGCTCATGGGGGAGACGAGGTGCTGAGCTTGCCAGCCCGTTTCATCCTGCTTCCGGATAGGCAGCGCCCACAGGCCCCGGCCAGCCCCGGCGGGAAGGAGGGCGGCTCCTCGGAGCCCCGCACTGACGGACTGCGAGCGAGGGGCTTCGGGCCTGGACAGCTGCTGCACAATAGAGCCAAGCTCCAGGCCCGGGCGAGCGGCCCCTCTCCCGCCTGCCTCCCCTCGCCTGCTTCACCCCAGCCTCGCCTGCTTCCCTCGCCAGGGCCCGGGCCGCCAGGGTCGCCTGCTCTTGTCACCCCGGGCTGGTTGCCGTTTGCTGCCCGTGCCATCTGCTCTCCACTGCTGCTTCCACTCCTGTGGATCCGCTTCTCCAGGAGCCCTTCTTTACCGCCTCTCCTGCCTGCCCTTCACCCTGCAAAGAGCCTTTCTCCTCTGCGGCTCTCCTCTGCGCAGGCTTATTCGTCTTTTGTGCAGCGCCTGACGGTGCCTGGAGCAGCTCCCTTTTTCCATCTCCACCTCTTTTCTCATTCCCCTTTTTCCTCTGAGCCCCCTCCCCCAACCCTGTTACCCTCGGCAATGAGGAGTCCCTTGGAGCGCTGAAACGGAGTAAGAAAAGCTTGCTTGGTGTGCCTGTGTGCGGCTGCTACCTCCTCTCGCGCTCCCCTCCTTTGAGGGGGGCCTAGCCGCCGAGTCGCCTCCTCCTTCTCCAGCAGTTGTAAGCCAGAGTGGTGGCTGTGTTGTGGCAGGCGGCAGGATGACTGACACCCGACGGAGGGTGAAGGTTTACACGCTAAATGAAGACCGCCAGTGGGACGATCGAGGCACAGGGCATGTGTCCTCTTGCTACGTGGAGAGGCTCAAGGGCATGTCCCTGCTAGTCAGGGCAGAGAGTGATGGTAAGTGTGTGTTAGACGGTACAGTCTTTCCTCGTCCTACCCAGAAAAGGAACTGGGCTTAGTTTTGTGTCTGTTGCCTTAAGGTTTTGCTGCATAATTCTGATGTGATTTCTAAAAGCAAGTAGGCTCTAACCATAGTTCATTCGTGGTAGGCCAAGTGAAAGACGTGGAAGATTGCCATGAAGTGCAAGCATAGTAGGCACTTGGTTCATAGTGAACAGTGTGTTGCATACAAAATACTTGAAGCTCATGTTGTAAAGCTGGAATGGGTTTGGCCATCTAGTGATCTATCACTACATGCTGAATGTACTCCAGTTTCAAAAGTGATAACTATGATGTATCCTTCCTTAGTGTTTCTGGAAATGATCTCATGAATGGAGTTGTTAAAAACTTAGGTCATGTTTTTTAGCATAAATTTTTGAAAGGTTATTGGATGGCTAACACCTTTTCCCCCCTCACCCTTTCTTCCCCTTCCCCCTTTTCTTTGGTAGCAAGAATTATGCAAGACATTCTAAAAGCTATCAACAGTTTTCAGAGTACATTTGTTACAGTAGTAAGTACAGTGGACAGAACAGCATTTTCAGAGGGTTTTTTTTGTTGTTTTTTTTTTTTTTAATGGAGTGGTATTTCTCAGTCGTTCAGTAGTTCTAGATCTTCCTGTAAATACATTTAAAACAATGCATTATCAAATTCCTTCATATTTTCTGAACAGCATGTGACAGTTGTGTAGGTTGAGTAGTAGCATCTGCTCCTGTAGCTACATGTTTGGGCTAGTCTTGATTACTGGCTAAGTGATTTGACTGCTATGATCAGAGTAGATTGTAAAATACATACTTTGCAGTATCTAGCATGTATCATTTTGATAGTAAAGTCTGTCAGTGTATGACTTACTATTTCATTAGATATACAGCTGGCTGTATCTGGTGACTTGTAGATCTAGTTGTAGCTTGTGACTGTCAACAGACCTTGTAATTTTCTTTATTTGGCTTTGTCATTATAGGAACTAGATTGAAAAGCATCTTGAGAATCATTACATCTTACTGCTTGAGAAAGTACTGACAAACTGTGCAGTAATCTATGCAGCAGAGATCATAAACTGATAAGGAAGAATGAAACTTTGAGCAGGATTTTTATAATAGGGTTGCTGATAAGCATAAATCTCAGGATTTTGTAGCTTCTTGATTATACTTTAAAAAGTTGTACTGATAAACTGATAATTTTATTTTTCACTAAAGTTGCGTTTATATTTGGCCATCTTCATAGTATAATAAATTATTCAGAATGGTAACAGACTTAGTTTCATTTCAGTGTGAGAAGGGAAGTAAAAAGGTTATCACTACGTTTTTAGGCTGATCTTTACAATATATTTTGTTATAGATACGGTTGCTGTATACATGGTTGATGTGCTTGTTTTTAAAAACTGTTATGTCTTCTACACACTAAACAATTTCCTGTTTGTTTCGTTGGGTATTTTTTAAATTCTTTTTAGAAAAGAAAGCAAAATAACTGCAGTTCATAACCTGCTTGTGAAGAAATAGGCCATTCAAACTAAAATCGCCTTACTGACTTTTACTGGGATATGGATGCTTAAGACTGATTAGAACCTGAACTGGGCTGTTGTTTCCAGCTTCTTTGTTGCAAATGAGCATCTGTAAGAAAGAAAATACAGACTGGTGTAAATGATCCCCAGAAAAGATGAAGTCATTACTTTGTGTTCCATAGCTAAGATAGTCTGTCAAAGCAAAACTGGCTCGAACTTACTAATAGCACCTAATAAACGGAAGTTATTTAATGGGATACTCACATTAAACTTCTCTCAAACAGCATCCACGTATTTCAAGAGTACTGAATAATACACAGATCTTAAGTTCTAATTTAGTAGGTAGTATCAATCCTGGGTAAACATGCACTCTATTAATAGGGTAGTTTTTCAAACTTGCTTTTGTAAGCACCTCATAAAATCGATCTATTTTGTGTACTCTACGTGGCAGTTGTTTGCAGGCTGATTTTGAAGGCAAGCATAGTCATTTTTACGTGTGAGCAAATGTTTTGCGGAAAGGTAACACCAGACTAGTGTTTTAGGTACTACACAATTTGTGCGTTCTCTTGCATGCTTTTTTAACTAGATGAAGTAATTTACTGTGATTTCTCTTACCCCTCTCTCCCTCTCAGTTATCAGAAACAGAAAAGTACTGGGAACCTGACCTGTACATCATTTGTCTTCATGTTTCCATTGCTTTCGTGTATTGTCTTTCTTTGTCAGCTCCTTCTCGTTCCACAATGAAACTTCTTCCTTCCTCCTTTTCTAAACCGGCTTTTCCTAGCGTTAGAGCTGAGATTTATCCTGTGCATGCTGCTGTGTTCTTACTGACTTATTCAGGAAGCTGACTGAAAACCTTGGGATCTGCCTAAGTTAAAAGCTCTGTTTCCTGAGTGGGGGAGTCTATGGGGGATGTTAGCAAGAGTTCTTGCTGTGGATGGGAAATTGCCAGTAATGTGAAAAGGCCAGTTCGGCTGTGGACAGAGTGACAGCAGAATTACCAGAGGTTCATTTGGCTGACCACTGGGGCTAGCACATAGTTAAGTCTTCTGATTGAGCAGATGTGGCTTGGTGTAGCTCCATAGCTGCTTTCCAAGTGGCTGAGATTTTATGGCAGGGTCAGGGGGTTCAGATAAAGGAACTACGGTGTGCCAAGTCCAAGGTAAGCGATCATTTGAAATTGGAGGAGTAAAAGTGCAGTATTTTTTTTTTCTTTATCTATAGGAGTAATTGGGTTTTGGTTTTGTTTGTGGTTGGTTTTTTTTTTTCCGTGGGTTGGTGGTGTTCTGGGGTTTTTTGGTTGTTGGTTTTGATTTTTTTTTTTTACACCATCTTAAGAGCTGAGAGCAGTTGGGTGATTTACATTGTTATCTGAGATGGCTAATGCTCCCAAGGCACTAAACTTTAATCATTGCAGGCTATTTGGAGTAATCTCTTACTGTACAGAAATAGCATAAACTGCTTTCAGATCAGATATATTATGCTCTTAAACAGGGAACTGATTTTTGATTTTGTTTGTTTTACGCTTAAACAGCTGTTAACTTTTTTTACCTAAAACCCTGAGAAGTTTCTCTGTATGATTCCTAGTTGCGCTGTATGCTACTGGAGTTGCAATAGGGCAGTAGTGAACTCTTCTTACAAATAATCACCTTCCATGTGAGTTTCTTGTGTATTTGGAAGCCTTTGGTTTGTTACCTGTTTCTCACATGGTATTTGAGGCTGTGGTGGCCTGCCTCATTCTTGAAATGTCTGTGTGCTTCTAGACTTTAACTGCCTAGTTTCAGATCACTTTTTTTGTTCTGAGCCCAGATGGCTAAAGTGACCTCTGTAATGAACTTTTCTGTTCAACTAAGTTATGTTAATTTGAGGGCTTACACTTTTAATTGAAGCTTACTAGTCCTATAACTAAATTTTTTGACAAGCCGAAGTGAACTCCCCCATAGGAGGCTATGTTTAATGACTTTAGTCATAGGGCAGGCATCCGCATCCTCACTCTTTCTTTAGACTAGTTATCAGTAACCCTGTAACATTGGCAGAAGGCTTAGCCAAAGTTTGCCTTAAGTTTTTTTACCTTGCTCCAAGCTTAAGGGTTTAATTTTGTTTATTTATAGGAAAGCAACACCAAAAAACTTGGGGTTAAAATACCTAAGGGGGGCCTACAAGAAGTCTGAAGGGGGAGTTTTTACAAGGACATGTAGTTGCAGGACAAAGGAGAATGGGTTCAAACTTAAACAAGGGAGATTTAGGTTGGATACTAGGAAGAAATTCTTTACTGTGATAGTGGTGAGGCCCTGGCAGAGGCTGCCCAGGGAAGTTACAGCTGCCCATCCCTGGCAGTGTTCAGGGCCACATTGGACGGGGCTTTGAGCAACCTGGTCTAGTGGAAGGTGTCACTGCCCATGGCAGGGGATTGGAACTAGATGATCTTTAAGGTCCCTTCAACTCAAACTGTTCTGTGATTCCATGAAAATGCCACCCCTTACCCCTCAAAAAAACCTGAACAAAAAAAAAATTACCCAAACAAAACCATGGGGGTTGGGGGTGGAATTTTTTTTGTTTCTTTTCTCCTGGTTCTTCTCTCTCCTTAATGTTTGGGTTTGACCCTTCAGAAATGCATGAGACTGATGAATAGTCTCTTGCAAATGCAGAGCGCATTCTGGACCTCAGTTTGAGCTGTTTCCTGTGTTTCAGTGGATTGGTTTCTGTGAATCACTAGCAGCAGAACTGATTGCAGAGCTTAAACCTCTTTGTGCATCTTGCAGAAAACAGCTCTTGAGCTGAAGTTTTCATTGAAAAAAAAAAAAGGTTTGTACTGGTGCAGGGAGGTGAGTGACACTGTACCTTTTCTGCTTTTGAGGAAGGATCCACGTCACAGTTAGATGGGAGAGGAGCAGTGTTCCATAGCAGCAGGTCTTTTCCGTACGTATATATATAAACAAGTCTGCAGATTTGTTGATGAAGGCTACTGGCTCAGAATACTTCTCTAAATATCTTTGAAAATAGCATTGTATATCTGTATGTCATCACTTTGAGCAAGTTGTTCCCTGTACTCGCATTACTTTCTCAGCATAGAATGGTGTAGTTAAAAAAAACCACCAGCTGTGCGTTTTTGCATTACAGTGGCAAATAACTGAATTCTGCAAATCAGTGTTTTCTTCTTTATTAGATGGCTTCAAATGTTACTTTCTGGCACCAGTGTTTTTCAGTTACCTTTGTAAATTCATTCAAGGATATAATTAGATCTGCATAATTTGGGGGAGTTTATTAAAACCATAGTTTGTATTAAGGTGAGTTTTCAGGTGTTACGTAACTCTAGATAGTCATTGGGTCAGTGAAGATGAAATTTTTTGGTGTATTTTTATAAAGTAGACTGGATACTCTAAATGTATTCTAGCGTAGTACCAAAAGAAAAATACCTACAGAGAAAGTAATTGCTTATGACAAATGCGAGATAAGCATCTTGATCTGTGTTTAGGAATCAGTACTGATACTGACTTTGAATGGAGGAGAACTTTGGTTTTGGTATGTTGAATTTCTGTAACCTTTTTCCAAAGAGCATATTTGTGTTACAGATGTCTGTTACTGTTGCCTGGTTCACAGAAGCAAATAAGGGAAACCTAAGACTCTCTCATACCAGCAAGGGGCCTGACCCAGTAAAACTTAGTATAGGAAAATAGGCTCACTAAACTAACTAGTATAATAGTTACTGATTTTTTCAGTAGTTGAACGTTTTAGAACAGATCGCACAAATGGAACATCATATCCTTCAGAAGGATGGGTTGGGGGCAGTTATTAGGTGTAGAGCACACCTTTTACACTTCAGTACATTTCTATTTCCAAATTTATGTTCTTCTAGTTATAAATCACAAATGGCGAGGAATAAGTTGAATCATGTAATAATGAGAAGCAAGTCAAGCTTTATAATGCTCGATTTGTCTTTCCTGCAAACTTCAGGTTTAGCAGGAGAAGAAATGTTCTTCTCTGGAAGTGTAGTAAGGAGATTATTCTTTGGTGTCTCCTTCTAGCCTGGAAGATGAAATGTCTTCATTCATTGTCTTCCAAGATTTATTTTAAGTATTTTGTCAAACATGGTGTTCAAGACTCTGGTAATTTCAGGATTCCCATGTCTGTAGATATGTGTTCAGCAGTTATAATGTTGAACTTATCAATTGCTTTAATTCTTATGATTCTGATTTGTATTTGCTGCCGTTAAATATTTCTAGATAGTAAAGAATTTATAGAAGTTAGTCAGCTGGGTGAATAGCTGAAAATAATATTCTAAAACTTCATGTATTTGAAGCTGAAGCTTTGAAACTGAAAGTAAGATTGAAGTGAAATAGTGCCTGTAAGAGGTGATTGTAACAGAAAGGGAATGCAGGTTTTAGATGTTCACTAGGCAAACCCAAAATGCAGAGCTCAGGACTGTGGCCTAAGTACTAGTGTATTGGGAGTAATCATTAAAGCTCATCTAGGATGTTTTCCTTCTCTGTCCAGCTGTCACAAGGGTTGCTACTCTAAGCATTAGTTTCTGTATATGTTTTCCAGCAAAATAATGTGTTTTAGCTAAACTTCAAGAACAAATACCGCATGATTAGCAAATTTCATACAAAACAACTGGGGGTGATCGATGAAATACAGTTACAATGCTTTTTGTGTGCTGATTTTAAAATCTCTTAAAAACGTTCCCTGAAAAGTTGTTACTCTGAATAAGAAAGCAGTTCAAAATCCAGTCCTCAAAAGAGTCTTGGATATTCTGTACTGTGTGAAAAATATATTTGAGGGAAAAACAAAATACAAAGCTGTAGAATATGGTTTTCACAGGCTTGTTGTTGGGAGGAAGGGTGTTACTACTTGTGGAAAGAGGGATCAGAAGATTCATGTTGAAATTGGAATTTAATACACATGTAAATAGTACACATGTAAAGTGGAACTTTTTTTTCTAGGTTCTCTTCTTCTGGAGTCGAAAATTAACCCTAACACTGCGTACCAGAAGCAACAGGTAAACATACTGCTTTTTCTTCACATTTGAAGGCAGGTTCTTTAACTTCAGCAATAGTTGGTTGTTGTTTGTTGGGGTTTTTTTTGCCTCTATTTCAAATTGAATATTGCGTTTTTCTACCAAAAATAGACAAAGTAGTTCTCAACGTTTTGTGCATTTTGTGATATACGCGTGTTATTTCTCTGCAGTATTTGTGAAGTTATCTATATAACTTGCACTCTGTTTTACATCAAAAATTGCTTTGGGAGAGACAGGCAAAGCGTAGGTGTGAAAATCACAAAGTAGCTGAGGTTCCTGAGGATTATAATATCAGAAATTTAATATCATCTGGCTTTTTTATTTGTGTTTCAAACACTACAACTTGTGATGTGTTTTGTTTAAGACTAGAAGGCTTTAAAGCTATTTAGGTATTTACCTTTGCTTGGTTTTTGCTTCAAGATGGATATGGGTTACTAAAGCTTCAAAGCATTCTCTATACACAAAAGCAGCTTCTCACCTCTAGTTTGCACCTTTCTTCAATTATTTAAGCCATACATTGTAAGCCCTGAAAGAAAGCTGCTGAGGTGGGTGAGAAGTGAACTGTAGGTCTTGAATTTTGTTTTCTGTTAATCTCTCATGGATGCTGAGAATTACCCTTAGAGGTTTAGAAATGTTAAACAGATTGTATTTTGTTGCCTGTTTAGTCAGCTCAGACTTGCTAAAATCTGGTAAGGTGCAGTTAATGTATTAAAATACCTTTCAGTCTTCACCTTTAATAGTTTATTATAAGCATAGATGCACTGTAGTTCTGCTCACAGGCAGACCCAGTGGTTGTGCAGCTGCTTGTAGGATTTTATGTTGAGCTGAATGAGGAGAACCAGTCTGGGTTAAAATACCCTTCCTTGAAAAATTTAACCTCTGTCTGCCCCTTGATATAATTTGTAATGCACCATATCAGCAGTCTGTACTGAACAACTGATAAGGCCAATGGAGAGTGGAAAATCAATTGCAGGGAGTAAGAAAAGACAAGACCAGCAAAAATGCTAAGTAAACTGTCTCTTGGTTGTAATCCTTACTGGCCTGAGGTGATGGTTCTATGATACAGTAACTCAGGCTTTAGGACTCCTAAACAACCTTGCGTATTTCACAGCTTTATGGCTAAAAGTGCTGTTCTAGTGTAACCTTGCTTAGCTGATTCAAATCTGTTGAAAAAGCACTGAGGGGTGAGCCTTGTATCAATAGGCTTTATGCCATATCATATGTGAAGCTTACTTAAAGTAGGCATAAAATTGTCAGATCTGTGCAAACCCCCACACGTGCCTGTGAGCACAACAGCATTTCACACCTGTAGTCATGGCTGCTCTGGGTCAGAGTCAGACATGTGGTGTGATCTGGTGCTGCACAAGTCAATACTGGTGATTGCGAAACTATGGTTACTAAAATAAAAATACTAAACTTGAATCTGTCCTTTTGAAACAGCACTCTATGTGTTCTGTGCAGGAGAAAGAAAATCGCACTTCTTAAAGCTTTCAAATGCTTTATAGGCAGAATTTATATTTGTAGGTGGATTTTTCATAATATTTAAGTCAAGCAGCAACTAATATGGATTGAATCTAGGGCCCCACTCTGAGCCTTAGAAATACCAAATCTTTCTTGGTGTGTGTGCTCATCCTACTTTATAGCACATTCTCTTTTATGTGAGGCCTTCTTATCTTTTCCTTTAGTAAAAGGCAAGTGCAGAGTTTAAACCTGATTCCATATGAGCTAATCTTGGGAATTTAACAGTTGAAAGGAAGAGTTGCTTCTTTGCAGCTGCTTATAGAGTTCTGAACCTCCTAAACTCACTAAACCACAATACTCCACATCCCTCTTCAAAAACTCATAACTGTCTCTGTGAGCAGAAGTTTCCTCACACAATATCCGTTTGTGGAACTGTGAGATGGAAGAGTGAGCATGTGCCTTGTGGGCCTTCAGATACCTAATTGAACTAATGGAATCAGTGGATAAGGTCTTTGGATGACTATTGTCTCAGCTGACATGAGGCTTGTAAGGAGAAACAATCTTTTATGTAACAACTAATATGATTTGTGATTGGAAGGAAGGAGAGGTATGAGAAGTTCTTGGGGAAACTTTCAATGCCAGTTGCTTTGGATTCTTTACCAACCCTATAGGTAATAATAGGGTTGTAATAAATAGTGTAATAAACAGTGGAGTTCTTCAAGAAGAATTTTGTAATAAACAGTGAAGTTCTTCCACTGGTGAAAGAACCTTCTACTTACTCTGCACTGTTAATGCCGCTGTGAAAATGATTGTCTCATTAATTGTTGGTATCAAAAATGATGCAATCTCAGGGTATACATCTGCATATTTTAATGATAGCTGTCACAGCTTAGTACATTATTTGTCTGAATGATAGTGTGAAGACCTGAGTACAGGTTTGCCTTGCTGCCACTTTTGTCTTGGTGTGTAAGACATCCATGGAAAAATAAATAAACCATCCCCCAAACAAACAACAGCCAAACCAAATAAAAAACTAAAACAAAACAACAGAAGCCATACCCTGTGCACCTGACAACATTTTGTCAAATTGTCTGCTTTAGACTTCTTGGGGTTCAGGGTTGAAAGTGTTGACTGCCCTTTATTGTGAATTAGTCAGGTCTCTGTGTGCACATAAATGTTGATCTTACTGGTGGTAGGTACAAATGTCTGCCCTTTGGAGAGGAAGAATACTTGATAGATCTTGGGGTCTGCTTTGGGACTCATTTTTCAGGCATCACCACTGTCCTGAGATACACTGTCTTCCCAGACTTACCTACCACCTGGAGGTTTAGAATAACTTGTTGAAGTATGAAACATGTAGAGAGTCAGATAAATTAGATTGTCTTTCTGTCACCATGAACAATCATTTTGCTGCATTCATGAAGAAAGATGTGTCTGTGAACCTGACCAGTGGAAGTTTTTGTATGCTCTGATCTGCATGCTTCCTGGCAAACTCTTCATTACTTAAACTAGAACTAGAAGAAAGGAATACATGTGAGAAAAACAAGCTAGAAAAAAACTTTGGGAAAAAAAAAATCTTGAGAAACTAACGCCTTGTGGCTCAGCAAAAGGGCTAATTTTTTGTTTTAAGGTGTGATTTGTGGGCAGAAGATGTATTCTGAAGAAGTAAAATGTGCATCAGTACAACTCAGCCTCCTGACTTTTTTTCTTGTTTAGGACTGTATGCTGAGTTTTATTCTTATTTTTAAATGTTGCCATAATGATGATGATAATTTCAGTATGGAATATACTGGATTTAATTATGGGTAAGTAGCACGGAGCTTAAAAGCAAATTTTGTTTAGTAAGGGGAATTTAATAATACAGTGATTGCTGGACAACACATACAACACTTAGTTTAACTCTTCTGGTGTTACTAGTAAAGGTAAAAGATACTTTAGTTGCAGTGCGCTGGTGAAGTCAGTTTACACACACTTCAGTTCATGCTCTGTTTCTTACATTGTTGGGTATTTTTTAAAGTATTAAAATGCCACAGTTCCAGAATGCTAGTGACAGAGGTGCTGTTCTAAAATGAACATTCTTCAGAAAATGAGTAATTGCATCAGTATTTTAGAACAGCACATTTCCTCCTATGCAACCTTAGAGGAGAAATAAACTCTGTATATGTAGCATTTATCTAGGAGAAAACTGATATGGGTGTGGACTGAGGTATATACTTTAAATATACTTTGGCAGTGCTTTAGCTATAGAACACTAAAGACTTACATTTTTAACTTTATTTTAAATACATCCACGTACATCCTGTAACCCAGTGACGAAATATGTATTGCATCCCCTTTTGTGCCTGAAACAAGGAGGACTTGAGTTGCTTCCAGCTACAAAGTCTTGCCTCTGCACTAGAAACATCAGGGTCTTGTGTTCTCTACCTTTGCAGCCCCTTTTTCATTTCCTTACAAGAATACAAAACTTAATTTTCATCTAGAGTACCTTCTATTAACTACGTAGTTTAGAGGTGGTTATCGTTGTATAATGGAGAGCAGACTTGCTAATAACAAAGCTACATTTTGAACAGGTCCAGAAAGGCACTGGCAGAATACTCTGAGAAGATGAACTTCCTGCCCTTGCTGTCAGGACAAGCAAGTCAACAGTGAAACTATTTCAATAAAATTTGTGCTTACTGTAGCTAAGATAGTAAGGAAGAATGTGTGGTTTTGCGGGGTGAGAGGAGAGGCAATTAGAGTGACTGCTCTTGGGTTTGGGTGGGATGGTTCATCTATTTCAAATAATCACATGTTCCATTATCTTTACATGTTTTCCAGTGAAATCCAGTTTTTCTGCTGTTTCTGGATATGGTCACTAGGCCGGAGAGTCCTTTCTATTACAGAACTAATAAACTTTTATTTCATGATTCATGGGAATGCAGCTATGAAATTGATAACTGAAAAGTCACATATGATTATTGAGCTTTCATAGAAGCTAATAGAATAATTCTGCCATAAGATGAGTATGCATTGATATATTACCCCAGTTTTTGGGGTAACATTCAGATATTCCAGTTTTAGGTGAATAAATGCACAAAACCAAATGCAGAAGTGAACCTTTATATTACATTACTAGGATGGGATTTTATAGCCAGAAGATCCTGGTGTAACCTAACATGGTAGCTGTATAAATAAACTTAAAAATCTTGGGTAGCACCAGTAGTTTATTTCTGAAGCAGAAAACTGCTTAGGAAATTGTACTTTTGATTGTAAATATTTAGCTAGCAAGATGCTGAAAGGTGGCTTGACATGTGGAAGTGTCTGCAACTGTAAACAATGTAAGGGTTCTGATAAGGAAGACTAGCAGTCAGGCAGTCCAAGAGGGGGAGGAACAAACTTCCTGTGTTGAACTTCCAGAGGGATCCAGGAAAGTTTCAGAGGCCTAAATTGTTTGGTGACTAATAGGAAGAGATTAATTTGCTTCTTAAGACAGAAAGCAAGCACTTAGGAAAGACCTGTGTGATTTGGGAATCGCTACTTCTTGAGAATAGCTTGAATCTCACAGGGATGTTGAGAGAATATTTTGGAGCTGCTGTGAAGACTGGTAATCATTCTCCCTGGATGTGAATACTAGTAGGAGGCCACTGTCAAACAGCAGTAGTTTTATAAATTTTACTGCATTAGGAAAGAAAGCTTAAATCAATTTTACAGCAGAATCAAATCCTGAGTACTGATTGCCTAAAATTCTTCATTATGAAATTCCAGGGCTTGCTTTGTAGATTGTATGAAGGCTGTACAATGCACCTGCTGATCAGCTTGCGAATAATTAAGTAAAATTGGTTGAATGTCTTAATAAAAGTGTGATGTCTGCTGAGTGTTAGTCAAGAGCTTGAGACTGATGGTGTGTGTTCAACAACCTTTCTGTTAAGGAAAGTGAGACTTTTGGAAATAATTTCAAAAAAATGTGAGGGGAGTCACATGGTAGATACTAAGCCTCACCCATCTAAATACAATTGCACTGTATTCTGGCTCAAACTATTGCAGTAGTGGTTTTGAAGTTCAGCTTTGTGGAAGTGAAGTCTTAAATAAAGCTGTAGGACACAGTAGTGCTTCCCTGCAAACCTCTAACAAACAACAAGAACTTGCTCCGTGTGAGTGTGATACAGCAAACGATGAGACAAGGAGCAGAGGAATCCCCAACTATTCTGAAGAAGTTTTGCCTCAGGCTGTATCTTTATAAGGATAAGAGTGCAACCTCTTTGGTAGAAAGAATATATACCTCTTTATGGGAATGTTATATACACAAGTCTTCTAAGAAAAGGCCATGATAAGAATTTTTGCTTAAAATTAAAAACTCCTGATTATATATGAGCACTCATAATGAACAATAATGTGGAAGAACACAAATTTATATAAGTGGTCTTAAGGAGACAGCAAATTTTGTGTAGGCTAAGACAGTGATGATCCATTCAACTGGCACTATTGTCAAAATATTTGTTTTGTGAAGCAGCAAGTGATTTTCAAACAGAATAAGGTTGAGAACTCTATATAACTAGTTTCCTGATTATCAGCCTGTTTAAAAAAGATCTTGCCAAGAACTCAAGTGCATCTTTAAGAACGTTAAGAGCTAGAATGCCAGGATTCTGGCAAAGCACTCGGTGTAAAAGCCTTCAGTGCTAAAACGTGTCCATGTTTATGGCACAGTTCACACAATATAGCTATGGCTTAATACTGCAGTTTCACATTTTAATTGTTTTTAATGCCAAGCTAGACAAGAACAGATTTCAGATGTTTGTGTTAGTCATCCCACCCAGTTCCTTGTCTAGAGACTAACATTTTGTATATAATGAAAAAAAGGATATGTTTTTGATCAAACTGAGCCAGGACTGCTTTTATGAATCATACAAGATTGAAGATTTTATGCTCAGAAGGGTAATGTGCAAGACTCATCTTAACTCTCTAACCAATAGCTCCTTCTCCTAAGCATTTTTATTCACACTGCTGTTTTTCCTCTGAATGGGAGAGGCAGTCTTGAGAAATTTTGGTTGCTTTTTGGAGTTGCAAGAAGTAATGTTTGGCATTTGGAAGCAACAGATAGTCTTATTCCATAGCTGAGAGATCCAGAGTAGATAGTGGATTCACATTACACTGAGGAGATTTCAGATCAAACGCACAGAAAGATTCCTTTAAATAAAACAAGCAGAAACTAGATTTTTATTAAATTTTTTATCTGTAGCTACATCTAGAATTCCCTTTAGTCACTTCTCACTGCATATTAATTCTTGTCATGCTCTTCTTTTTGATGATTAAAAGCTTTGTATGATTAAGGAGATAAAATTACATTAATAACTGCATGCATTTAACAGTGAATTTAAACTTTGAGCTGTATATTGCGCGCCAGAGTGAAGTGGGTTTTCTCACGTTGCGTTCTCTTTAAAAGCCTTTTGAGGCAAGGAAGAATGTACAAATGCTCCTAAAGATCCAGAGAGCAGCAATTGGTAGATTTCAGTTGAGGCACTGATAAGAATCTATGATATGAAATCCTTGTGTGATAAGACAGCATATAACTAATCATTAGAAATTTTTAATGTTGGCATTTGGAAAATACTTTTCTGATACTAACATATGTAACTTGAGTGTTACTGTTTTGTTGCTCAGTTTATTTCAGCAGATTTTGGTTTGCTTTCCAAAGAAGGAAAAAATGAAAAATCAGAATGTGTAGAGGTGAAAAAAATAGTCTGAATTCCCATATATGATAGTAGATGATCTTGTTTATAAGAACAGTTGCTATACTATGGCCAAATGCGCATCTGTATATCTGTGACTATAGTTTTCAAAGCAGCTTTACCTTTGTGTCTTCCCTTTCATTTTTTTCTGCCTGTCTTTCTCCCTCTATTCCTCCTGTCCCCAGAAGAAAAAGACAGACTGACCAACTGACCTGTCTTGGTATTCAGAGACTTAGAGCTTTTGTTTATTCAGTTTACCACAGTTAATATTATTAAGACTGTCCTTATTTTTGTTCTTTTAGTAATTTCTCTATTTGTTAGTAATGTTTTTATAGAGAAAAACATTACATTTTTATTTTCTTTTGGAAATGGCTTGCTTAGAAATTTAACCACTTTCACTTAAATTGTGTTATAATTAGATAGGAGCGTTGCAAGTTCTGCTAGGGTCTACTTAAGCGTTAGTGTCAAGGTTTGTTGTTTTAAAAATTAAGTAAGTGTTACTCAGTGGGAAGCTGATGAGATGGCGGCCATAGAATTTCTGCAGTACGAACACTGATTGCAGAGATCAATGTATTACAGTTTGAACCTGATAGTTCCAATGAATACTGCAAGGGACATCCTGTTTTTAAAAGATAGTTAAAAAAACCACACAAAAGAAAACCCAGAATTTTCTTTAGTATCTTCCTTTTCCAAATTTTTGTAGCCTGTTATTTTTCTGGCTTAGTAGGAGTCAGTAGTACTAGGTGCTGTCGATCTATTATTACCAGAGTATTTGCACCATGACCTGTCTTGTAAAGAATAAAGTATTAATTGTGACTTTCTTCTTCCTTTTGTATTTTGGAGGTGGTCTTCCTAAATCCCTTTCTTCTGTGTACCACCTCTTCCTCAACCCTTTGGAAAAGGTAAACTATTTGCCATTTGCAAGGTAAAGCCATTAGTGCCTCTGAAGCAGTATAGCTGCTCTGGTAATGGCAAATTGATTATATTGTATTGCTTTACTGAATCCTAATGGAGCTACCTTATTGTGCTCTTTAGACTATAGTTAAAGGAGTTTTCTAGTAAGTGTATATCAAAATCTCAGTGTAAGATTTCTCTTTATCCTCAGTGTTCATTTTAATATTTGAAATAAATTAAGCCAAATTAATAAACTGTCTTAAACTGTATTGATGTCTGGCAACTTTTAGTGCTTTTGCAAATATTTAAAAGTAATTCATTTAGGAACAATCACTGTAAGCAGAATTTATACGTAATGATGCAAAAATACTGTAAGCTATGGTTCTCATTGAAATATAAGTGGAAAAATTATCGTGCCTTGTGCTAGTGAGTAAATGCATGTTTTATCATTTAATTAAAATAATGCAGTTGCATATATATGTTTGATGTGGCTATATTTCAGCTAGCTGTTATAAGAAGACAAAAGACAAACTAAAATTGATTTGATATGTAAATAATGCAGATTATATTTTCTTTTCGTGTTTATTTTTTATTCTAACAGTTGTTTAGCAGACTGTCTGTAAACTACTCCATGGAATACCTTACCAGTGTGCGATATCACTGTTTGCAGCATCAGCTTCCGCTGCCGTATATTGTTTTTGCATGCAATATGAGGGCTCTGGTAAACTCTTGAACTAATCTAGTAAAGTAGATGAAAGCTTAACTGTCTGGGTAGTAAACATAGCTAAGCGTGGTTTCAACCAACTTGTAGACATCTAGGGCAAAACATCCTTTCAGAATTTGGAACATGTAAAAATGGTACGTGTGGTTCAGTGTAATACGTATGCATACTCTTAGGCAGTTACCTGTGTGCATATTCAAGTTGCTGTTCTCGTTTACAGTTTGTAGGCATCTTGGGGCTGCTTTTTAAGCAGCTGTTCTGTGCTTCTGCACAGTGACTTCTGGGGCTTATAAGAATGAGAAAAAAAGGGTCATAATTTAGTTCCTACAAAAGATGTGCAGTTTTATGTGGTCCAGTTAAAAAATTTAAAAAACCCAAGCAAATCAAAACCAAAGCCAGTTGATTTTGTTACCATGATTTATCAGAGGTTTCATTGAGGTAGAAGTACTTATTCTAGATCAACCTTTTTGAGATTTACAGTACTATGGTAATTTGAATTAACTAAACCTTTCAGTATGTTTCTGGTACTTCCTTAATTTACACAGAAATGTTTGTAATTCTGAGAATCTCAGAACTTATAAGTCTTGCAAAGTATGAGATTGCATTTGTAGTGTATTACTCTCCTGTTATAACTAGATGTTAAACTGTTTTTATTTTAAATTTTTACACTTTAAACACTCTTCAGATTTGCAAAATCTGAAGTGACATTGCCTTAAAATACTTTTCCTCTCTTTAAAGGATACCTTGATTGTGTGGTCGGAAGCTGAAAATTATGATTTGGCACTTAGCTTTCAAGAAAAAGCAGGATGTGATGAAATATGGGAAAAAATATGTCAGGTAAGTTTGATAAGTCTAAGATTGAGACAACCTAAATCATCTTAATGTTTGTGTTCAGAATTTTTAGACTGTTCTAAGAGATGAATCTGAACACAGTGGATAGAAAGTACAAACTATCATTGTAGCCACCTCCCCCAAATTGTGCATTTGTTGAGTTTGAAAACTTTCTTCTTCCTCCAGAAGTTTGTTATGAACTTGAAGTATGTTTGCAGTGTTTTTTTTACAGTATTTTCGGGTCTTTTTAGCTCTATTACTGCCCAAGAAACTTTAGCTCAAAAATGAGTGCTTAAAAAGTTTCATAACAATTAATTTTGTAATTAAGTTTTCCCAGGATGGCTAAAAGGAAAAAGGTTACCTGTCCACGGTTTTGCTGTAGACAGAAGAATGTATGTGAGCTATTAGTGATTTTTATAACATATTTCTCATAGATTTAACCGTATCTTATTCACATTTCTGTTTCTACATTTCTTGTTCTTCTCTTCCTCTTATCTCATTCTACTGTTTCAGGTGAGGGTAATACTGAGTTTCTCAATAGAATTTTTCCATTTTAAGTATGACAGTATGCTTCTGTTGACTATCAGGGTATGGAAGATTGATCTGATTGTTCCTCTGAAGTAAGAGATAGCTCTATCCCTTCATTATCCCCTCAAAGCTATAGTTCTTCCAGTTTAAAGAAATGAACCTATTTATATATAGCATATATATATTTTAATATGTGCTAATTAACTCATAGTGGTTTACCACTATTACCACCTGACAGTATAGTCACTGAGTCAGTGTTGTTTCTGGGTAACATTTGGTCAGGTATTGACTGTTGGCCAATACCTGGAAGATTTTAGTCAATGTATTCACTTCATTCATTTTGTCAGCTCTTGTGCAGGTTTTTTTTTTCTTCCATTCCAAGCATTACAACTTCTCTTAATTTCTATGCTACATTAGGTGACATTTCTCAAAATTTGTCTAATTCTCTCTGTATGGACTCTTATGTTCTTAACAAGCGTTGAGCTCGCTTCATTGTCTTTTGGACTTTGTTCTCACTGATTTCAGAAAAAAGCAAAAGAAATCTGATTTTACAATTGCATGTGTATAGATCATTAATTTTTCTAGAATTTAAAATCAAATCAGGAATGAGTACTACTTATGTAAATAATTGCAGAAACATTTCCAGGAACCTTAACCATCAAAAGACCAAAAGTTGGGGAAAGAAACAAATCAGGGGAAAGGGGAAATTGTGTTCTTGGGAAACACACAGATAAGAAGTGCAGCTTCCTCAGCCTCATCTAAAGATCTAGCATTTTTGTAAGAAACCAGTGTCTTTACATCCTGTTTTGAGGCCATGCTATTGTATTGTGTCTAGTGTACTTTAAAGCTTTTAACCTTCCTCAGTTGGAGTCATAGAATAGTTAGGGTTGGAAAAGATCTTGAGATCATCTAGTACAAACCCCCCTGCCATGGGCAGGGACACCTCACACTAAACCATGTCACCCAAGGCTCTGTCCCACCTAGCCCTGAACACCGCCAGGGATGGAGCATTCTTCCTTGGGCAACACATTCCAGTGCTTCACCACCCTAACAGTAAAGAACTTCTTCTTTATATCCAATCTAAACTTCCCCTGTTTAGGTTTTAACCCATTACCCCTTGTCCTATCACTACAGTCCCTAACGAAGAGTCCCTCCCCAGCATCCCTATAGGTCCCCTTCAGATACTGGAAGGCTGCTATGAGGTCTCCACTCAGCCTTCTCTTCTCCAGGCTGAACAGCCCCAACTTTCTCAGCCTATCTTCACACAGGAGGTACTCCAGTCCCTTGATCATCCTCATGACCCTCCTCTGGACTTGTTCCAGCAGTTCCATGTCCTTTTTATGTTGAGGACACTAGAACTGTGCACAGTACTCCAGGGGCTGCTCTGAATCTCTTATTTGCCCAGCCGGTAGCTGTGCCTGGGATTGCTCCAACCCAGGTGCAGGACCTTGCACTTGGCATGGTTAAACTTCATGAGGTTGGCATCAGCCCACCTCACAAGCGTGTCAAGGTCACTCTGAATGGCATTCCTTCCCTCCAGCGTATCAACCGAACCACACAGCTTGGTGTCATCGCCAAACTTGCTGAGGGAGCACTCAATCCCATTGTCCATGTCACTGACAAAGATGTTGAACAAGACTGGTCCCAGCACTGATCCCTGAGGGACACCACTCGTTACTGGTCTCCAGCCGGGCATTGAGCTATTGACCACAACTGTTTGTGTGCGGCCATCCAGCGAGTTCTTTATCCACTGAGTGGTCCACCTATCAAACTGATGTCTCTCCAATTTAGAGACAAGGATGTCGTGTGAGACATTGTCAAATGCTTTGCACAGGTCCAGGTAGATGATGTCAAATGCTCAACCCCTGTCCATTAGTTCTATTATCCATCCTAGGATGTCTCCCGGCCCTCCTGCTGCACTGCCTTCTAGTTGGGATGCAACACTCCCTATCTTGTTGCAGGTGATCCTTGAATATCAACCAACAGTCCTGGGCCCCCGTGCCCTCTAGAGCTGTATTCCATGGAACTTCACTAAGCAGGTTCCTGAAGAGGCCAAAGGCTGCTCTCTTTGAAGTCCAGGGCAGTGAGCTTGCTGCATGCTCTTCTCGCTGTCCTGAGGATCTTGAACTCAACCATCTCATGATCTCATCATTATTATTTATGTTGTTAAAGCTTCTTTTAAAAAGAAAACCTTGGTACCACTTGTACTGGAAGTGGCTGCTGATGTATAAGCAGAACAGTATGTGGAATTTGACAGCATTCTGGATTTCACTCTAAGTATAGGCTTGCTGTTATCCATGAAGATTTTCATCTGACTTCTACCAGTCCATGCAGCAGTGCTTTTCTGGATTTCACGTATCAGACACCAAGCAGATACTACAATAAAGATGTCATTAAAGCTGAAACACTGGTGCCCAAGCATCTGTCTCTGTTTTCTTTCCTCACTAATTTGTACTTTCCACAGTTTCCTTGGTGTATCTCTAGAGGGATATTTGCAGGTGGTGTGCCTTGTTTTGCTGATGGTTCCAGATTTCCACTACTCTTTCGTTAATGTTTGTTTGGTGCTTTCTTTTCTTAAGAGGGGGTCCTGTGCCCCTCTTGAGTATTTAGAAAGTGTACAGTAATGGATTTTGGCTGGCAGGTCTCCAGAACTGAAAACGACTTAACAAGACTGGCCTCTCTCGTTTGTTTGAGGTAGCAGAGGCTTTGAAAAATATGAAGAGCAGTTAAATAGCCTATAGATAAACATTTAAAGTTATAACTGCAGTAATACCATACTGTTTTGCATTTGAAAATCTGTCTGCAGAGAATCACAGAATCACTGACTGTCTTGGGTTGGAAAGGATCTTAACATCATCTAGTTCCAAGCCCCCTGCCATGGGCAGGGACATCTCACATTACCATTACCAAACCATGTCACCCAAGGCTCTGTTCAACCTGGTCTTGAGCACTGCCAGCAATGGAGCATTCGCAAGTTCCTCGGTCAACCCATTTCAGTGCCTCACCACCCTCATAGTAGAGAACTTCTTCCTTATATCTAACCCAAACTTCCCCTGTTCAAGTTTGAACCCATTACCCCTTGTCAGATTGCTATAGTCCCTGAAGAAGGGTCCCTCTCCAGCATCCTTGTAAGCCCCTTCAGATCCTGGAAGGCTGTTGTTATAAGGTTTCTGTGCAGCTTCTCCAGGCTGAACAGCCCTGACTTCCTCAGCCTGTCTTCATACAGAAGATACTCCAGCCCCTTTATCATTCTCGTGGCCCTCCTCTGGACTTGCTCCAAGAGATCCATGTCCTTCTTACACTGACGGCACCAGATCTGCCTACTACTCCAAGTGGGGTCTCACAAGAGAAGAGTAGAGGTGCAGTAGCCGGTTAGAAAGTTGTCCATGCTAGTAATTATGAATTTACTTTTTTATTTGGAGTACTCGGGAAATATAGCTTTTTTCTTTATTCTCTCTCCTTTTTGTAGAAAATAAATAAATATCTAATGTAGAAATAATTTTGTAAAGCCTTCTGTTTGCAGAAATCTTTTCATCATCTCTTACTTTCCAAACCAGTTGTACTCAGTGTCAGACTTACGTTTGCAGTTCTGTTTTGGCCGTACCAAGAAAAAGTGTGTGGTGTTTGAAATGGTATTTTTATAAAAGCATTCAGGTAGCAGTAAACATTAAACTCCACTTTTTTGAATGCATCTTATTTTGTAGGTTCAAGGCAAAGACCCCTCTGTCGATATTACTCAGGACCTTGTCGATGAATCTGAGGAAGAGCGTTTTGATGATATGTCATCACCAGGTCTAGAATTGCCATCCTGTGAATTAAGCCGGCTAGAAGAAATTGCAGAACTTGTGGCATCTTCACTGCCTTCACCATTACGTCGTGAAAAACTCGCACTAGCACTGGAAAATGAGGGCTATATTAAGAAGCTCTTAGAAATTTTCCATGTGTGCGAAGACTTGGAGAACATTGAAGGACTACACCACTTATATGAAATTATCAAGGGAATTTTCCTTTTGAACAGAACTGCACTATTTGAAGTCATGTTTTCTGAGGAATGTATAATGGACGTAATTGGATGCCTAGAATATGATCCGTCTTTATCACAGTCACGGAAACACAGGGAATTTCTGACTAAAACAGCAAAATTTAAAGAGGTGATACCTATATCTGATCCAGAGCTGAAGCAAAAAATACATCAGACATACAGAGTACAGTATATTCAAGATATGGTCCTACCCACTCCCTCAGTTTTTGAGGAGAATATGCTATCAACACTTCATTCTTTCATCTTTTTTAATAAAGTGGAAATAGTTGGTATGTTACAGGTAAGTTTTAGAATTTCACAGCTTCTTTATTTGTTATTTGTGCTTGTGCAGAGAAAGTTGGATAATTTTTCTTGGAAAGATTGACATGCTTCAGTGGAACCTTCATTTCTGTGATTCCAAAAGTAATTTTGAAGTATGACATAAAAGGCATGGATTCGAGTACTGAGCTGTTAAGTATATGTTCTTAAATTTCAGATGCCGGACTAGATTCTCTGTAACTGATCTAAATGGAGCAAAACATATGTGGAATCCTGAGTGAGGTTGTTTGGAATGAATAGTACTGTTTTCATCTTGCAGGTTTGATTTTTTGTAGGCGTTAGTGGGTTTTTTCTGTATTTTGGGACTTTCCACGCGCTGCAATTAAGGATAATTTTTTGTCATACTACCATGACAAGAAAAAAAAAAATAATATTACTTCACCCAGATTTCACAAATACAATCTCATACCAGGATAAAACTGTTTCTGATTTGGAAGTAAATTAAATCAGTCGTTTGGAAAGAGCAGGTTCAGAACGTAACATTGCTTTAGGTGCTTGAATGTTTTCTTAGTTTGTCTTTTAAGTCCCTAAATAATACTGCTTAGAATTGCCAGGTTTTCATGATGTGTGTCTTAATGCAAATGTAAAGAGATTGTATGATGATGATAGATACCTTGCTTACATGTCTTGAATATTCTGCACCAACCCATGAACTTCCCAAACTCCGTAGAAATAGGTGGAATGTCTGTAATAGGAGCTTCCTAACGCTTTCAGCGAGCTCAGCAAAGTGTTACAGCACATGTATTGTAGTTTGTTAATTGTCGCTATCTTAATTCTTCTAACATTTAATAAATTCATAGCCACTGTCTTTGTAAGGGCTGTCTTATCTGGAGAAATGTGCAAAGTGCTAGATGATACTGATGACCTTAATCATATTTATCTAAAGCTGAATCTCGGCATGCATCCCGTTCAATTTTATGGAATATACAGCAAAGGAGAATGAAAATTCCTTTTACAAGCTCATAGCAAAACTTCCCAACCTTCCATCCACCACACTCAGTTGATCAGAATACCGATATTATTTAATCCGCTCTGTTGGAGCTTTAATCTGTTATATCCACACATGGAGTATTTGATGTGCGTGATGTCACCCAGGCCTAGCAGCTGAGGCATGTGCCTTGTGGACAGACCATTACTTCCTGCAGCAGCTGGTGGAAGGCTGGTAGAACATCAGGGGCCTCTTTGTTAGTACTAGACCCCAGTTTGCACCCAACTGAACCAAACTCTTCATGTCTGTATGTGTGTCCTTGATAAATAAAGTCCCAAACGTGAATCTGAAACAGTCAGAAGGCCTTCAGCATTTTGGAGTGGCCATTTTGAGAAGCTTACAAGTCTGACGTTGCAAGTGTTGAATAATTCAGTTAAGGCATCTCAGCTTAAGTATCCAGTATGACCTGTGTCTCTAAAATGTCTTGACCTTTTTGCAAGGGTTGCTAAAAGTAAAGTGTGGAGGATCATATATTTTAGTTTGAAGAGGAGGAATGGAAGAATTAGTCAGGAATGTTGGTGTTAGTGGCTGATTCTGAGAAGTTCTTGTAAAGGAAGCTGGGCAAGGAAGAAAGGGGACCTGATGCTGCAAAATCATTAAGGGTGACTTGGGTAACTTGATTGAGTAGCTGATTAGTTTCCTCTTTTTCTCTCTCTTGCATCCTATGTTAGGTTAATAGATGTAAGGTAAGCTTGGGTTAGAATATCAAGGATTGGTTCAGTTGAAAAGCATTTTAGTTGCAGTTTACAGTTGAAACAGAGGCTAAGGTCTGATTTTGATTTGCTGTGTGACTGCAGGTTTCTGAGCATTATCTTCACTTCTGTTGCTGTTGTCTGTGGTTGAGAATAAAGTGTACTGTGTGTGCAGTGGGGCCAGAATAGTTAGCACTGCATAACTTTCAAAGTTAAATAGATCCTTCAAATTGTTCAAGTGCTTTCTACAGTTCTGAGCAGCCACAAGTGGTAGCATAGGAGGAGGAACACATATTCTGTGTTACATTGCATTTCCTAGACCTTTCACAGTACAGCTGTATGGCATTGAGTGGTTACTCCCTGAGTTTGTAAATAAGACTGTTGGAAATCATATTCATGGTCAGTTCTTGGTTTTGGGGGAATTAAAAGAGGCTATCACAAATTATACACCCATTGCATTTCTAAGACATTAAATGGCTTGATTGATCGGTTGATAGATTGATTTTTCTAGTTCTGACAGTGTAGCTCTAAACCAAGGTTTAAGCCTACTTACCTGACATTTATTTATCCATTTATTTATAAAGCAATATGTCAGGTTGCACTTTTCTGTTATCTCTGCCCTCTAAGTTTTCATTCTTCCCTTCCCTTTCTCCACCACCCCCATTCCTACATTCTGTGTATAATATGTATGGTTTCATTCCTTTTAATTTCTTTAAGCAGAATAAATAATGTTCTGAGGACAAAATTAAGACTGCTTCTGTTGATTTAACTTCTGTAACTGTTTTTCAAGGTCTCTTATTAGCGTATGGTTTAACATGCATTTCTGTAATTGGTTCTATCATAGTATTTCAGTGGTGGGGGGTGTTATTTCATGAAAGATTTAAACTTGTCTCTGGAGTTTCTGACATTCATTGTTTTAGATCTTGTGAAATCCCAATGCTCAGTAACCTTACATGTGTACTTAAGAAGCTGGTGTTTTATAAATCATTACTGAGGAGTTTCTGGGATGCTTCCTGGTAGTTTGTTCAGACCCATGGATGAGTCTCGAGTTCTTAGTTGATCTGTAGTGCAGGTTGTTAATGCTTCAGCTGTTGACCGTAGGTTGTCTCTCCTGGACCACTGCGAGGAGAGTGATCTCTTTAGGAAATTTTACCTCTCGGGTTAAAAGTAAAGTCTGTGAGCAGCTGATACCCTGTGACATACTGCAGCTATTGTGTGTGCAACTGACTTGTTTTATATTCTGTTCTTTTCTCTCTTACTGACTGTTAAGGAAAGGACGAGAAAAACTGTAACTTCCACCAGGGCAAAACAGAGAAGCTCTACAGAGCCCTTCTCATGTCAGGCTGCATATTAACTAAAATGGCACACTGCACTTCCCTCGTTTCAAATTAACTGAGCCATACGTTAGTTACAGAGAAGAGACTAGAAATTGTACAAGCCTCTGCACAGGTTCTGCCTTATGCTTTTTGACAGGCCAGGCGACTTTCCTCAGAATTACCACTGTGTCTTATTTAAGGTGTTTGGTGTCAACATAGGACATGTAAGGTGAATTTTTCAGTATAGCTAGTTAAACTAGCTAAACCCAGGACACTAGTGAATTCTGTAAGTAACAATATGCAGATTCTTAAGAATCGTGGCTTTTTTAGGGATTTTGGACGTCTTTAGAAAGAAAAAAAATACATCTGCAGTCATGGAGGATACCTGCTTCCATGATTTTGCTTCCTTTGGTAGGTAAATAACTTCTGTCTGTTCTCTGGTAAAACAATAAAAATAGAGAATGGAGCGCCTTTGGCACTTAGGCTTATGAACTGTATTCCTCTCTCCTTTATGAAGGTTAGCTTTTTCCATAATCTTTATGTAAATGTTTACACTAATGGGCTGCTATAAGAAACTGAGGTTAATTTATTTGTGATTTAATTGTCTAAGATCTGTAATTTTAAGTAACTGTGGAGATCTCACTAAACTAGATACTGTTGTTCATGATGGATAGTAAGCCCGGTATTTCCAGTCTATAGAATTAACTGCTCTGGAAACCTCTGCAATTACAGGTTTTATGATTCTCTGTACATGAGATACGAAAGAGGTATATAACATTTTTTTCCAATTTCAGCCCCTCCTAATATGCTCTTACTGCTTGGCGTCCAGCCTGTTCTAGTCTTGAGATGTCATAGCCACCAAGAAACCTCTCTGAAACATGGAGTTCGCCAAGTTTTGAGAGTGGGGGTGGGACAGGTAAGTGGTGTTTCTTACTTTATATGACGCTCTTTTGCAATTAAAAAAATATACACTAATGTTCACACTGGAGGCCACCAGTTCTTTCCCTTTGTATTATAACTAGTTCTTAAAAACAAACCAAAAACTTGCAAAACTGCGCCATAGAGTGAGCAAACACTGTTTCCTTCTGTTCCCCCTTTCTCATTGGCGTGCTCTTTTTGTTAGCAAGGTCCTGCAGTGTTTTACTTTCCACAGTACAGAATATTGTTAGGATTACTTTGGGGTATGTGCTTTTAGACTTCTATCCAGTCTTTTGTTTTGAGAAAAGTGAAGAGTACAATGGGAACATTGGACATACGTTAAAATAATTCATGTGCCTAGGAAAGCAGTGATCACGTGGCATTATTGCACTGGTAAATTAGCGTTTTAAAATACAGAAATCATTTTGCCCTATATCCCTTTTTAATAGCTAAAAAATTGTAGGCATTAAAGTACACTTAGTTACATACATTTAGGTATATTTTGCTGGATTTATATATAACAACAGGTTGATTATAATTTTGAGAGTGGTTTTACAGGTAGTTACTGATTCTTTACAGAACTCCGTGGATGCAAGTGTAATTATCTGTAGTTGTTGAGAAAGAATTGTGTCAGTGCATGTGGGTAGCTTTACGCAAATGTATTAGGACTGAAATGTCTTCTGCCAGTCTGCTGTTTTGTAGTTGGCTCAGGAGTAACTCTGGAGATCCACTCCCAGCAAAATTTGCCTTGCAGATAAGGTGTAAAAGGGTGCCACTTTCTGGGGAAAATGACAGTGAATGAAGTTTGCGAGTGGTGCATGTAATGATTTCTGAGATTAACTTCTATATTGTACAAAATTATTGTCACTGTCTACAGAAACTCCAAACGTGATAAATGGATCCTATTGCTGTTTCAGCATGCTGTTTCAAGTGGAAATAGCTTATTGATAGCAAATGAAGGCATGTGTGGGAAGGTAGTCTGGGATAAAGGAGACTGAAACATTTTTTAAACTATAAAATCCTCTGTTGTGGCAGCAGGAAGGAATGTATGTTTGAAGCTGTAATTCTGTTTGCTGGTAACGTTTTATGAAACTTTCTTGGCTGAAATAGTGTTTCTGCCTAAAATTGAATATGGAGGTGGAAAACAGGATGGAAAGTGTACTGTCTTCCACCTCAGGTGACACAGAGCTTCTTGAAAGTTTTTTTGAGAAAGGCATGTTTTCTGTTAGTTATCTGTAATCACAGGCATGAAGGATCTGATAAGTGCAAGTTAATTACATTTAGGAAAGGCCTGCTTTTGAAGAATGCTTTTTTAAGTGCCTACTAGTAGGAGGGGGAGGACTGCTTTGAAAGTTGAATCACAAATATAAATAGTGTCTTTTTTATGATCCTACTTTGTGGGTTTTCTTGTTTTTAAAGTCATAAGTGATTGAGTGCATAGATAACCTGGCTTAATTTTATCTTCATGAACTTTGAAATATATTAAATCCAAGGAGCATGTACTTGGATTTTGCAGAAGCATAAATGAATACACTTAGTTTTTGGCATATGCATAGTTTAAGTATTCAATAGAATCATAGAATCATAGAATAGTTAGGGTTGGAAAGGACCTTAAGATCAAGTTCCAACCCTCCTGCCATGGGCAGGGACATTTACTTAATTTCTGTGCATGGGGAAAATAACTATTCTACAATTGCCTCATAAACTATCGTTTGCAGTTTTATTTTCTTAGAAACAGTTGTGATTTTCACAACTTCCAAGATAACATCCGAATGGATTTTGGTGCTTGTCTGCATGAAGGGGCCAGATATTGCAAAGGATTATGCATTTGTGCTGTGTTCACAGCTGTATTTTGGGGGATTTTTTCAACTTGGAAAACACCCGAAATGGGAAACACTTAAGCTTGTGGGATTCCAGCATTTGGTGTTGGTGCTTTGTGACTTATAATATATGCAAACTCTGCTTTAAGACTGTGCATTTCTGTAGGTTCTGGTAGTGTTGTCCAGGAATGTATCTGTAGCTCTTATGCCCATGTCAGTAATTTTACACCCTGAGAGAGAGAATCTTGTATTTAGAATGTCCACTGCAATCACAGTTTTCTGTAATACAGGAGTGTTTGGAGTTTTCCATCAATAAAAACCTGTTTACCTTTCCTTAAGCATCCTGGAATGAGACAGTGCCTAAAACACATTTCAGGGCTGAGACCTAGCTGCAAAGTTAGTAACAGGTTGGGTTTTTTTTTTGTTTTTTTTTCTTGGAATAACTGCCATTTACTGCATGTTATCCATGTAAGAATGGGATGTTTCAAATCACTCAGATTCGTCTTAATTTTGTCTGATTTTAAACTTCTAAATAGAATCTTTGGTGTTAGAGAGTCCCCTCTACAAGTCCCAGATGTTTGCAAGCCCAATAACAGGATGAGTGGGTTGGCCTCTCCTGTAGATGGCATACTGAACCAGGCAGGAACCTGATGACCTGTCAGAGAGCTGAGCTGGGGTCCTGCCCAGCAAGGCCCTGCCTGTCAGACTCTGCTGTTAGTGCTGGAGGTGCAGCTTCTCTGGCCACCTCTGTCTCTGAGGCTCCATAGTGGGTCACAAGTGAGATCCCCCATGTCACCAGCACCACAGGGTCTCCTCCTCTCCTTCCACACTTGACTTAAAAAAACCCAACCAAACAAAAAAAACAAAAACAAAACCAAAACCAAACAACCCCCCCCACACACACACTTTGGGTAGTATTGTGTACCCTTTTTTATGCAGAAGCACACTAGTCTTGACTCTGTCATACTGAAATGCTGAAATTTCCACTGTTTTTTCCTGATGATCATTCTAAGATATTTCTGTGGTATTGGCTTGCAGTTACTGCCAAGTATTATGAAGGAAGTAAAAAGTTCATTTCACAGTGAGACTGGAAATGCAGGGGTTACACTTTTTCCGGTTTGGATAAGCATGCATCTTCTCAGTAGTTTTGATAAGAGACGAGGTTAGTTTTACATTTTGATTAAAAACTGCAAAAAGATAAATGAAAGCAAACTACTTAGCCTGTTCTTAAATACACTGCTAATCATGGAGAATAACTTGCATGCTCTTAAAAAAAATCAGTTACTTTTTATATTTTTATGCTTATTGGTTGTTTTTTTTAATTTCAGTAAAAAAGATGTTGATAGGTGTACTGTGGGTTTGTCATGCTACCTGTAATGTCTAATGAGTTAGATATTATAATAGAAATCTTACCAAGCCATGTTACAGCTGGATGGCAGGTAGCCAAACATCCTTGTATTCTTTCATCACAGCTGAAGTTACGTTTCTTGAAATCTAAGACCTTAATAGTTGTTCAGAACATGTGTGACTGTTGAAATCTGAAAGTCAAACTTTGCATTTTCAGCACTTGTTCCTCCAGAGTGAATTTAAGTAAACTTCAAATGAAGCCTGTCCTATCTCATTTTGATTTTGAAGCAGCAACAGAAATAGCACCTGAAATTGTGTGCAGAAATGATTCTTCTGTATTATCACTAAACTGTTGGGTCAGGTTGGAAGCACAGCACAGCATCAAACAAGAGGAAACAGGTGGCATATCACAAATACAGGGTTTGCCTTGCAGTGTGGTGTAATGCCTTGTAGGGTGGTAATTCATGCCAACCTATTTTGGGTTTATCTGTGTTGTGCAGTGCCATTTAGAGATCCTGGCCTGAGCTGTGACAGTGTTATAGCTGCATTAGTGGGGTGTGCTATTGGAACTGAGGTACTCATTTTCTCAGCAAGGCTGCAAAGTGACCCTGGGTGAGGTACCTAGATAATCTGCAGTTTCAGTAACTTTATGTGGATGTATCTGAAGTACTGTCATGGTTCTGCTTTATACTGTGTAAACATAAGCAAGGTAGTTTGGTTTTCTAGCACTGTGGTTTTAGGGTGGAGGGATATTGCACGTGGTGTCACTTGACTTCACAAGAAGTAACACTGGCAGCTTTTTGAAAAAAAATTATTCCTATCTGATGTACAGGCAGCTTTTTCAAGCAAGTGCTGTCCTATAACTGTGTAATATTGGGGAAAGGATGCGGAAGATTTGTTTCCATTTTAATGGTTATGTAGTTGTTAGGACCGTGATGGTTATGAGAAGCTACATATTGCTGCTTTTTCAGTCTAAATACATGTTTGTAATGTGTTGTCTGCTGTTTGTAGTTTTGCTAAGGTGCAGCAGCATGAAAAATAATGGAATGTTTTTTGATTGCTGCCAGCCAGAATGCCCAGTAGGTGCCGTACATAATAGAAACACTTTGATTTGGTTTCTGAAGTTCACCCTTCTCACAGCATTGGGGAGAAAGAATCTTGGCTCCTTCCTGCTGTTAGGAAACTCTCTCTTCGTTGTGTCTTTGTCTCCTGCAAACATCTCAAGGTTCCAAAGTTACATGTGTGTGTAGGGCTGAGTGGGAGGTCATATTTAGAAATACATGTAAACAGTTGAAGCAAGGGTATTGTAGTGTGGTTTGGGGGACAGGAATGTGACAAGGGGGAAGTAACTTAGAAAAGTCATGAACAAAGTGATGAGATCTGCAGTAGAAAATAGAAAACGGACAGCCAAAGGCAATACAAGATACGTCATAACTGAGAGTGAAGTGTTGAGGTTGGAGTGGTGTTGAACATCATAAAAGCACAAAACCAACATTGATATTAACTTGTTTGAAATTTGAGTTAGAAAGTTGATACTGGTGTGATTAACTACAGTACACAAGTGTATACTCTCTCAAGTTACAGGAAGCATGGTTTATAAGAACTTTATGTTATACTTGGATCATTTTTGATACTGTCAAATAAACAAATGGTATTGTTTTGCCTTTGTAGGAAGATGAAAAATTTCTGACAGACTTGTTTGCACAGCTAACAGATGAAGCCACAGATGAGGAGAAAAGACAGGAATTGGTAAGAAATATGTAAAATGTACATGAAAGGGGCAGTTACTACGAAGAGGCATGCATCTGTTTTTTTTAATTACTAACTAGTGCATTATTGATGTTTTTCAGGTAAACTTTCTGAAAGAGTTTTGTGCATTCTCGCAAACACTGCAACCTCAAAACAGAGATGCGTTTTTCAAAACCTTGTCAAATATGGGCATACTGCCAGCACTAGAAGTTATATTGGTAAGTCAGTTCCATTTTATTTGTGATAACAATTTTATGTATGTCCAGAGAGGTTGTTTTAAAAAAACAAGTATGCCAAACTTCAGACATGCGGTTTTCTGAAGTGTTTGCTTCGTTCTCTTTTCTTAGCTTGGGTTAAAATATTTTTGTAAAACTTTCAAGCCAGTTGCAGTATGACATTGGTGAGTGCCCTGGCGTTCTTATGTTTTTGTTTCCTTGTTCGCTTTACATCTTTATATGCTCTTTGGTGTACTGTTAAGTTAGAAAATAGGGAAATAGACCAGAGAGCAAGGAAAACATAAAATGTATTTTTCCCAACAGTTGTCAAATGTACAAAGAAGAGGTTGTAGTCGATACAGGTTTAGAATACAGTTTTAGTAATAGTTATATATGACTTGTAAGTAGGAATTAAAAGCTATATGCTTTGTGTTTCTCACTGCATTTAAGCCTTTTCTTTAAAGGAAACATAAATGATTTTATTTGACTTTTCCAGGGGATGGATGATGCACAAGTACGAAGTGCAGCCACTGATATATTCTCATATTTGGTTGAATACAACCCATCCATGGTACGAGAGTTCGTCATGCAGGAAGCGCAGCAGAATGATGATGTAAGTAGAGGGTCGCTAGAAATGTGTGTGTTGTTTTTTGAAATTACTATTTTATATTTACAACTCTGTTAAGGACGTGAACCCTAGTTCTGAAGAAATATGCAATATAGTCATGATGGTTACAGGACACTGAACTGCCATGTTTTTAATAGTTCTGTTTGGTGAGATGAATGCTTGCTGTTTACATATTCTTGTTCCTTAAAACACGTTGCCATAAACCATTTGGTTAACATAGTTGTCATACGAGCAGTGCAGAATGGTTTTGAATGGTGGCCTCCTCAAAATGCAAAATACGAATTTCAGTCTTGATCTTAGCATACACATATGTTTTTAATTTACTTGTGAGAAATCTGTGTTTCATTTACTGTCTCACATGTTGCAAGTGGAATGATGGTCCTGAGTGTTCAAAATCACATTTCAACAGAGGTTTACGTTTCCCAGAGATCCTCTCTAGCTGATAAATACAAAAGGCAGCACACAACTAGTAGCAAGAAGGGTATTTCAGAGTGGTATTCAGTGGAGAAAAAAATACTGTGCTGTGTTTTCACTAGAGGAGATAGTTAATGTCTTTTCTCCTATCTGTTAAAAACATGCCAGAGAACAGGAAGCTGCTGGTGCTGCTACTTCTGTACTGAAAGAAGGGCCAGCTGGGACAGGGAATATTGCTGGTCTTTCCAGCTACTTGAATCTGATGACCGTATTCTTTCATGGGGTATGGTGGTAACCAGGCAATTTTAGTGTAGGGATTCCTAAATGTAAATATTTTCTACTTTTATGTGTATTTCTTGATTTTTTGCTAATACATGTTGGGGTTATTTTAGGTGAAAATAATCTCATCAAGTTCAATAGCGTTATAAAATGTACTGTTGGATGTTTGTAGAAGTAAAACTCTTGGTATGTATTCTAAAGGGGGAGAGGAAGAGATGTGCAAATAAAAACTGTGCTCTGAAAACACTTCCAGAAATCAGTTATGTTTTGAGACTGTTAATTACCTGTCTCTACTTTTTACGTTTTGACATTTAAGTTCAGACTGAATTCAAAATTCGATTGTTAATTTCAGAACCATTTTTAGTTGCTTTGACAGATTCTTCAGTGCTTGCCTTCTTAATGGTGAACCACTGACCAGGATGCATCAGTGGCCTGTAAGGTTAAATTGTTTCTGTTAAGTTCGAATTTTTTTGTTTGGTAGTTGTTTACATTTTGCAGAATTTCGATAGAGCACCATTTTAACCAGGCACTAACCCTTTTGGAAGGTAATTTGGATTTGGTGCAAGGGAGGAACATTAGAACTGATTTTTGCATATTTTCTTTTTCCTGCCCTGTTAGGATATATTACTCATCAACCTCATTATAGAACACATGATTTGTGACACAGATCCAGAACTTGGAGGGGCAGTGCTACTAATGGGTTTGCTTCGTACTTTAGTTGATCCAGAAAATATGCTTGCCACTGCCAATGTAAGTAAACACCTTAAAGTGAAATTACATTTGGTTTTTAGATTATTGCTGATATGTGTTACACAGATATATATATATATTTTTTCCCCATTCTTCAGAAAACAGAAAAGACAGAGTTCTTGGGTTTCTTCTACAAACATTGTATGCATGTTCTGACAGCCCCTTTACTGGCCAATACTACAGAGGACAAGCCTAGCAAAGGTAATGCCGCTCTGGATTTTAAACATATCAAGGCAGTTGAATGTCTGTGTTTAAAACAAAGTAATTGTCAAAGGAAGTTTTCTGTTTTAAAGAGTATCTGAGTCTGTGATACATGGTTCAAAGTAAAATGTTGATTCATTATTTAGTCATTTGAATAATTTATAATTATAAAATTCAGCAGAGACGTGATTTAAGAAATGAATTGCATTTGCTGCAGATTTTGTTTCTCCAAAAAATGAAATACCGTATAAATTTTAGTAACTCATAGGGCTGTTCAGTGACAGACTTGTAAACATGTAAAAGTTTTATAAGGTCAGGGATTACTAGAGAGGATGCAGAATTGCCCCTAAGAAGGTGTGTATCACAATACTGTGCTGAGTTTGAGGGTATTTTTTCTAAATCAAAGGAAGAAAGCAGAGATCAGTGATGAAGTAACTATTCTTGCTGGCTACTAGCAGCAGTACTGTTTGTTAATAGTATAGCACATCCAAAATGGATGTAAAAGGAGGTACATAAATGATACATAAATATTCTCTGAACTTCTTAATTTATTGTATGGATTTCCAAGGGATTAGTTAAATTAATCTATTTTATCTTAACTGTCATCCAGATGGATTGAAAGTGAGGTTTTTATTATTTAAATTACTTCTGTTCTTTAATGGTCGACTGCCTGGCAACACTTTTAAAAGGTAGAACTACATTTTTTAAAAAAGGCATTAAATCTAATATTTAACTTACTATTTTTGTACTTACAAGCAGGATTAATGTTTTGTATATGCTGATGTGGTTGTCCTAGAAGTATTAAAAGAGGCTGAGATTCTTCTGTTAAAAGGCATAATGGATTGTATTTTTGGTGCAGATGTAGTCAAGGCACTGCATGTAGGGCAGTACTTTATGATACAGACATACGGGCATCATAATGAGATTTGGTTAAAAAAAGCCTGATGGTTGTGTTACTGTTACATTCTGTCCTCTCTGAACCTTCAAACACTGAGTTAAAACAAAATGTAATTGTTTCTGTCATTTAAGAGGGTTTCCTGCCATATATATAAAAATAGAAAATACTCTGTTCTTAAGAAGATTGTTCAGTTTCTGTTTTAAAGACTAAACATATCCTGTGGCATGTTTCTTAAACTGTCTGTGGGAATACAGAAGAACTTGTAAATGTTTACCAGACTGCAGCTGGATACTTGAAGTTAGCTTCTGAAGGCAATATCCTAGATACGCTTAATGATTTTGGTTTTGGTTTTATTATAGATGATTTTCAGACAGCCCAACTCTTGGCATTAATACTGGAATTGCTAACTTTCTGTGTAGAACATCATACTTATCACATAAAGAACTACATCATAAACAAAGATATCCTGCGAAGGGTACTCGTTCTCATGGCCTCAAAGCACGCTTTCTTGGCATTGTGTAAGTTGGAAACCTGAAGAATAAACTAGTACTTTATGAATGTGAAGTGTTGCATGTCGTCATTCTGCTGGAAGTAAACTGTTCACAGATGATGACAGTTTGTGACTGAATACAGGAATTCTGTTATACTCTGTGTTACTCATACCAATTTCTAGCTATGTCAGTAGTATTACTGAATAGTTTTGAATTTATAGATGCTTTTTTTTGTCGTAAAAAGCAGACGGATTTTTCTTAATCTCAGTCTAGAGGTAAATGTAAAAGATGGCATCTCAATATTGAATATACTGATAGCCATTGTAACTTTTGACATTTTTTTAGTAGAAATTATCAGAGGTATTTGATTAAACAGATCTGTAATTTGGAGTGCATTAAACAGCACAAAAGCTCTGCGTGCTGCTCTTCTGACTCTAGTAACCATTCTACTGACCATGCTCAGCACAGTAATAATAAAACAGTGTGACTTTATTCTGGAGACAAGTAAGAGATTTTTTCCATAATTCCATTGTGCACATAGAGTAAAACAAAGCCTAAAGTTGACTGAGTGGTACTATGCAATAAGAAATGACCTTTTAAATTTGTAAGTGAATCACCTGAATTAGGTTTTAGAACCCTTGAATAATCTTTCATTTACATGTAGTTGCTAACCAAAATGTGATGCCTCGTATCGAGTTGAAACTCTGCTTTCTGTTTATACATGGATATTCACATACTTGTGTACGCTTTGGAGTTTCAGAAAGAGCTTTAAACTGGATGTAAATATAGTCTTTGCTTTACTGTATGTGTGAAGAAAATGTCATTTGCTCTTTTCAAAATGAGATAGTTTATATCCTGATCAAATAAGGACTCAAATGTAATTGAACTTACATTTTAATAAGCAAATTAAATGAATGACAATTTAATAAGCAAATTTTCTAATTCTTCTGAGAAAACATTTTGCCTTTGTCATAAGTAATTTAAAAAAGCAAAAATACACTTTTACATTGGAATAATTAAACAATAGTATAATATTTCTTCAGTGAACAGAGGTGGCTTCACTCCTACAATTATGATGAAGGATTTCCTTATGATAAAATAGATAAGTAATCCTCAGCAGTATAGTCAAGACTGTTGAGAAGCAGAGAATAGCTGACTGTATTACCTGGTTCTAGTAATGTAATGCTGTGTAAGAACTGAGGTTGCAAATAGAGTAATGCTAAATAATTTCTAGGTTTTTTTTCTTTTAAATTTAAAAAATATTTTGGTCACACTTCTGTTTCAGGTGCCCTTCGTTTCAAAAGAAAGATAATTGGGCTAAAGGATGAATTCTACAACCGTTACATAATGAAAAGTTTTTTATTTGAACCTGTGGTCAAAGCATTTCTAAATAATGGTTCCCGTTATAATCTGATGAACTCTGCCATAATAGAGATGTTTGAATTTATCAGAGTGGTGAGTGCTGTTACATGATGAAGACAACTACTGTATTGTTTAATCTTGTAATTCAAGACGATTTTTCTTTTTACTTGTACCCTAAATTATGCTATCATAATGGGACTGTATGATACTGTATTTAAATCAGCTTTCTTTTGTATCACTGTTACATATATGTACATGTGCTTTCTTATGTTCAAACAGTACTGTGACTTGAAAGTTAAATTCACTCAACAGTGTGTATTCGCAGGTGTGCAAATCACGCAGATTGGATGGGCCTGTTATCACAGGAACGTAATTTAAAACTACTTCTACAAAGCTATCCAATTTAGCTGTGCTCTGCAACATCAACTCAACTAAATAGGGAAACGTACAGAAAAAATGCCAGTCTTTTTTGATTATATTAGTAGAGTGCTGCAAAGTTCTTCCGGTGGGGAGTCTGCTAAAATATCCATGCCAGTTTGGCTGTCAGCACAGTACTGTTTCCTCACTGTTGTCTGCATCCAGATTCTGACAAGGTGCTGTACAGACCCTAAATGTGGTAAGCAGGGCTAAGCTCGGATGCAGTCAGTCGTGGAGGAGTAAGTGGGTAAGGAAAAAAGGAGGCTTGGTCACCTCTTGAAATGTTCTGTGCTAATGACCTTCTGTGCTCTGACCGCACAACCCAAGTCTTGGAAGGCAGACCCAGGGACTGTGAGAATGAAGACCTTGGGCCCACTGTAGAAGAGGAACTGGTTCGAGACCATCTTAAAAATCTGAACATGCACAAGTCCATGGGACCTGATGAAATCCATCCACAGGTCCCGAAGGAGCTGGCGAATGGAGTTGCTAAGCTGCTGGCCATCATATTTGAAAAATCATGGCAGTCAGGTAAAGTTCCCGACAACTGGAAAAAGGGAAATATAACCCTCATTTTCAAGAAGGGGAAAATGGATGACCCAGGCAATTACAGACCAGTCAGTCTCACCTCTGTGCCTGGCAAAATCTTGGAGCAGATTCTCCTGGAAGGCATGCTAAGGCACATGAAAAACAACAAGGTGCTTGGTGACAGCCAGCATGGCTTCACTAAGGGGAAATCCTGCCTGACCAATTTGATGGCCTTTTATGATGGGGCTACAGAACGGATGGACAGGGGTAGAGCAGTTGATGTCACCTACTGGGACCTGTGCAAAGCATTTGACACTGTCCCACACGACATCCTTGTCTCTAAATTGGAGAGACATCAATTTGATGGATAGACCACTTGGTGGATAAAGAACTGGCTTGATGGCCACACACAAAGAGTTGTGGTCAATGGTTCGATGTCCAGCTGGAGACCAGTAACGAGTGGTGTCCCTCAAGGATCAGTGTTGGGACCGGTCTCGTTTAACATCTTCATCGCTGACATGGACAGTGGCACCGAGTGCGCCCTCAGCAAGTTTGCCGATGACACCAAGCTGTGTGGTTCGGTTGATACACTGGAGGGAAGGAATGCCATCCAGAGGGACCTTGACACGCTTGTGAGGTGGGCTGATGCCAACCTCATGAAGTTTAACCACGAGAAGTGCAGGGTCCTACCCCTGGGTCGGAGCAGTCCCAGACACAGCTACAGGATGGGCAGAGAAGAGATTCAGAGCAGCCCTGCGGAGAAGGTCCTGGGGGTGCTGGTTGATGAGAAAATGAACGTGAGCCAGCAGTGTGCGCTTGCAGCCCAGAAAGCCAACCGTATCCTGGGCTGCATCAAGAGGAGTGTGACCAGCAGGTCAAAGGAGGTGATCCTGCCCCTTTATTCTGCTCTTGTGAGACCTCACTTGGAGTATTGTGTGCAGTTCTGGTGTCCTCAACATAAAAAGGACATGGATCTGCTGGCACAAGTCCAGAAGAGGGCCACAAGGATGATCAGGGGACTGGAGCACCTCCCCTATGAAGACAGGCTGAGAAAGTTGGGGCTGTTCAGCCTGGAGAAGAGAAGGCTGAATGGAGACCTCATAGCAGCTTTCCAGTATTTGAAGGGGGCCTATAGGGATGCTGGGGGTGGTCTCTTCATTAGGGACTGTAGTGATAGGACGAAGGGTAATGGGTTAAAACTTAAAACAGGGGAAGTTTAGATTGGATATAAGGAAGAAATTCTTTCCTGTTAGGGTGGTGAGGCACTGGAATAGGTTGCCCAGGGAGGTTGTGAATGCTTCATCCCTGGCAGTGTTCAAGGCCAGGTTGGACGAGGCCTTGGGTGGTATGGTTTAGAGCGAGGTGTCTCTGCCCATGGCAGGGGGGTTGGAACTTGATGATCTTAAGGTCCTTTCCAACCCTAACTATTCTATGATTCTATGACTTCTTTTCTCTTGGAGCTGAGACTCAGAGTGATTCAGGACTGAGATGACCATCATGGAAGAATTGATTTAAACATAGTTTTGTTGCAGTGAAAAAAGTTAATCCGTATGGATGGCCCTGACTTCTGTGCTGTGGTCTTTCAGTACTCCGTGAGATTTGGTGCTGATTCTGCAGTTCATGCTATGGGGAAATAAATTGTCTTTTATTTTGTTATCTCCCTTTTCACGTAGATTCCCAGGTTGCATTTCCAAAATAGGTCTGGGTATCTGTAAATTCTGTAATTATTTTTTTTATCCAATTTTTTTTTATAAAGAGAGCAAATTTTTAAAAAGTGTGCTTTTATTGTTACTCATGTATAACCATTCATAAGGGAAGGCCTTTGAGCCCATAACCAAAAAGAAAAACAATCAGTGTATTAAGATTCGTGTTTATTTGCTTATCCTTATTAGCTGGTAATTAAGGTGTTTATTCTGAGGTATATTCCAGGGGCTGTGCTAAGGAAGCCAAACAGTGCCCAAGAGCAGTTTCCCTGCTGCAGTATTCAGACCTGTGCTAGTCTCAGCTGCCTAGAGTGGCGTTGGGCAGCCACAACCCTAAACCGAAATAATAGAACCATTAGGAGGGTTTTGTAAAGAACCTTGGCCAGCACCATATGGCCACAGAGGAGAAACTTCATGTTATTTTCTGATGAAAAATACTTTCTTTGTTCTCATCCTAAACAAATACATTGAATAATTATTTTTACGTAATGTATTTGCAGTGAGGAAAGAAAGAATATGAATACTACATATGTATCTCATAAGTATATTTTATATTGAATTATGACAACGGATATCAGTGATTAACTGATATAATTATAAAAATATTTGTAAGTTACAGTGGTAAAGACCTTTTAGAGTTGGTTTTGGTATAATTTTCTGTTGGGGTTTTAGGTTCTGTTCATGAGTTTGGAAGGAGATACTGCTAGAAAATTGCTGCTATTATGCCTGTTTAGCTAATCAGATATGTGAAGCTCTCGATTTTTAACTACACTTGTACTCATTTTTGCATAAGCTAGTTAATATGCTGCTTCCTTTGTAATGTCTAAAATCATCTCTCATTTCAGTTACTTGTTATATTTTATTAAATAAAGTAATTTGAATTAAAATAAGTTACTTTATGTTTGTTTATTCCTATAGGAAGATATAAAATCATTAACGGCTCATGTAATTGAAAATTACTGGAAGGCACTGGAAGATGTAGACTATGTGCAGACATTCAAAGGACTGAAACTCCGATTTGAGCAACAAAGGGAAAGACAAGATAATCCAAAACTTGACAGGTAAAATGCAGTAAATACTCTTATTAGTATATAACTCTGTTTAATATTGGTAACTTGTTCTGCAGTAATGGGAAATTAAATAATTTAGACTCCTGCTTGCATCTTGGGTATTGTTGAATTTACCTGATTAAAAGTGTGATTCCCAGATGTGTTGCTTCAAACTCTTGGATCAGCTTTCAGCTAACATTAGTTGCTGGACCCTCAGGAATAATGCTAAGTTTTCATACCCTAAACTTAATGTACACCATTGCAATGGGGCTGGAAACCTATCAAGTATTGGAAATTCATTTGCTTAAATAATTAATTTCCATTGTTTAATGTGAAAGATTGTTCAGTTCTGAATTATCATTCAGTGGATTTTTCCTCCAAAAATTCACATCAGATTTCCTTTTATTTTAGGTAGCTGTGGGAGTAGATATTTCAAGCTCTACCAAAATGACTGAGAAATAGAATATACAAAGAAATTGTCAGAGGATGCTTTTTTTATCACTGTTAGATTTGCTGATGGAGTAAAAACCAATCGGATGCAACACTTGAATCACTTCCGTTTGCCAGAGCAGAAGTTCCCTTCCTTAGTACACAGCGGTTACCAAAGTTTAAAAGGTTAGGGTGTATAAAAATAGGAAGTTTACGACTTTTTACTCCCATCTGTTTTTGGCAAATGATACTACTTTTATATATCATTTCATGAAAACAAAATGGACTGTTTGCATGAATTAGATGAGTTAATCTTCAGAATTGTTAGCAAGACCTGTTCTTGTTGTCTTGAGCTAGTTTGAAAACACATTAAAAAAGTAATCCTGATCAGTCATACGAGGACATCTTGAAATTTCAGACTTCTGAGTTCTTTCCTGCCACAAGATTTCTTAACCAGTATTTAAATGTGAGACTTACCGCACAATTAAAATTAGAGTATGATCACAGGTTGGGCACATTAAAGAGTATGCATTAGATGTGCAATTTTGAGTACTAATGTTCTGCACTTGAGATGTTGCTATTTTGTCTTGTGTCAGCTAAGCTTATCACCTGTTAAATTCAGTATAATGGTTACATTAATGCACGTGTTGGAAAGAACACCCAGCTACTTCCTTCAGTAATTTCCATCCGGTTTGGGAAGTAAAACATTGGTCTTGGCTTAAGTTGAGCTAAGTGATTTGTGTATTAGTTGTGCTGCATGAGTTTATCCAGCAGAAAATTACAGCTTCAAGAGCTCTGTAGCTCAACCAGCCCAGTTTTTGCCTTCTTCCTACACATCTTGTTTAGTGGCTGCACAAGCCCTGTCACAGTCCGCATAATTTCCGAAGTGAAAACCCAGAAATAATAAAACGCAAAGATAGCAAGAATCTGTTCACACACTCTAGTAAAGAATAGCTCAGTAAGGGAGGAGACCAAAAATTTCGTTGATGTGGGCCACAAAAGTGTTTGGAAGAGTGCCATTTAAGTGTAGTTTTGCACTATTAACAGAACTTGAATTTAAATGCAGTGTAAAGTCATGCAGTATGTATACATCCAGATGATCATTTTGGCAAGCAGATTATTCAGAATTAAATTTATTTTTAAAAGTACGTTTAGCATTCTTTTTTAATACCTTGTGATTTCCTGATTTTTCCCTTCTTTTTCCTTCAGTCAGTAATGCAAGATTTTTTCGATGAATAGAATAAACCTAGATTGTAGTATTAAAATTTTAATTCCAGTAACAGAGACTTTATGATAAACATTAAATCTCAGACTTACATTGTGGCCAGTAAATTTTGAAGAAGCACTACAGGAAATGTCAAAGGGTTCAGGCTTTTGTTGGAAATTAACTGTTAGAATCAACATCTGGCAATGATTCTATGTTCTTCAGGGTGCACATCACTGTCCCTCTTCTCCAAGGCCCTAATACTGCTTTCTGTGAGAACAAAAGGAAGGTGGGGCTGAGATATACCAACACTGATAATAGATCAAATGGGGAGGGACAGGTAGCACTTTGTGTCCAGGGCTCTGAAGAATGGAAAAAGCTGATAGCGACTGAAAGTTGTAAGAAGTGGATGTGGCAGGAAGAGATAGCTGTCTTTTTAGTGTATCTGGTTTAAACTGGAGTCATACTCAAGTTAGATTGGCAGAGGAGGAGGTTGTTTGCTGGGTTTTTTTCCTTTTTTCTTAAACACATTGGACCCTAGATACCGATGAGCTATCAAGTATTTTCAGGAAGAAAAAAAATTAAAATCTATAGTTCCCAAACTCTTTGGTTTGCAGCTTTTTATTTACCTGTGCAAACTGTTAATCCAAGCCTGCATGCAACACCGTTTTGGACAGAGTAGTCTGAATGTGCTATGAGCAGAATTGTACTTTATTTGATTCTTTATAAATAATGTTTTTAATGATATTTGCATTGAAAATACAAATATTCACATTACAGATTGATTTGCTGGTATTTTTATTCTCTAATACTAGTATCTGTAAGCTGTCACTGTAAATGTTGAGTAGAACTTTTATTATTAATATGAGTTGAGTTTTGAATCAGGAATTTTAAACTTACTGTTCGGCAGCATGCGATCCATTTTGAGAAACCATAGATACAGAAGGGATGCAAGAACCCTGGAGGATGAGGAGGAAATGTGGTTTAATACTGATGAAGATGATATGGAAGATGGAGAGGCAGTGGTGCCCCCTTCTGACAAAACTAAAAATGATGAAGATATCATGGACCCTATCAGTAAATTCATGGAAAGGAAAAAATGTAAGTGATGAGAAGAGTAATACCATACGGCTCATGCAGAAGCAATAACTTGTATTCTGTAGTCCTACTGCAGTGAAGGATTTGCATATATTTATTCTAAAGTTCTTAGATTTTGCAATTGTGACACCAAGTTGTTGGACCACCCCTTCAAAACAGGTTTTGTTGTCTTTAAAAGCAGCATGATACAGAATACTGTTACAGATTTCTTTAAGCATTTGGAAGGCAATCTTAGCTGATAGTCAAGTTTTCCTGTGATTTATTCAGGTTATAATTCAAAAATTTCTACATAAATGTTCAGGTGATTTCATTGGTAGAATACAAGTGTCCATTCCTGGCCAATGACAACTATTACACGCTGGTAGCTAGTATAATAGTATGAGAAAAAAAAGTCTGATTACTCACTTTACCAAGTAGTACATAAAGTGCTAAGCCTTTTCCCACACAGTAAAGTGATTTGTAATTAAATATTTTGCTAAATAATACTGCTCTACTTTTGTATTTTTTTGTGTTTATTTTTCTCTCTCCAGTAAAAGAGAGTGAAGAAAAGGAAGTTCTTCTGAAAACGAACCTTTCAGGTCGTCAGAGCCCAAGTTTCAAGCTTTCCTTTACCAGTGGTACAAAGTCTAACCTTACCAGCCAGTCATCTGCAAGTAATCTGCCTGGGTCCCCGGGGTCACCTGGATCTCCAGGGTCCCCTGGGTCTCCAGGATCAGTTTCTAAAAGCACATCTCAGATGGCAGCTATCACAACTAAGGTAACTCTGGATGGACATAGATTGAATTAATTGTTCCAGACTAGGGGTTTGCTTTATCATCTCCCAGGTTTGCATGAATTCTGACAGGTTATGTGATAATGGACTGTCTGGTTTGTGTGTACATTTTGTCTGATTTTTAGCATTTTTAAAGAGATCTGAATGTATATAGAAAGAAGAAATAACAGCTCTTTTATTGCCCAGACTCTTAAAAGCATGAGCCATAGCACTAGCTGCTGTTTGCAGTGATATTTATGTTGAAATACAGACAACACTTTACTTTTGTTGAATTGCACAGCGTATTTGGCAGGTAGAAAAACAGAAATACTTTGGAAATATTGCCAAATTTTGTCAGATGCCACAATGTCCCACCACCCCCACTGAGAACTTCTGCTGTTACCATTTTTAGTATTGTTCAGGAGGATACAACTGGCACATATGAAAGAAAGAAATTGTATTATGTAGCTGTGGTTTCTGTTGCCAAAATGTAAACAATTTTTAATATCCTAGTGTGACTTTTTTATCTTTTTAAATAACATACAGTTTTGGGTTGGAACATACTGAAGTAGAAGAAGAAATCCTGTTTAAAAGAGTCACTATAACTTGCAATAAATATCCCAAACCAGCATTTTTTATATATTTTAGAACACTGGTTGGATTTTATTGTATTTTTGGCTAAAGTTCTATTTAAACTTATTTAAGTCAAGGGGACAGAGTGATTGGTGTTTTCTCAGCACCGGGGGACAGATAGGTAGTGTTTGTACAGTGTAGTTCAGGTAATGAGAATTTACTTTCCTAACAAGAAAGGCCAGGTTTGTATCTCAGTTCTCATACAGCCTTGGAATAACTCTGTTCACCTAACTTGTAGTAAAGGTAAATGGTATTCTAGGCCTTTAGCTTAAGAGTTTATTTGGATTACCTTCTGCTGACAACACCTGGATAAGAAGAGTTTGGCTGATGAAAGAACTAAGGATTACATCTTCTAAATCCTTCTGTGGGGAAGGGAAGCAGATTTATTTTATTTATGGGGAAAGAGTCAAGCAGTTTTCAAAAGGGATAGAATTGGCTTGGAATTTAGTTCAGTCTGTTCCATATTTCTGCTGGAGGCTTGTTCTTTCCAAAACAGTAATTCCTTGCTTCTGAAATGGGGCCTACATATGGAGCATATTGCATATAGTATTGGTTCCAAAATTTCAAGTCATGGTAGTAAAAGAAAAATGTGCAGTGCGCTGAAAAACATTCGTGGATTCAGGCAGAAGCTATCTCCTGTTGGTAAAATTTACACTGTTCATGAGTGTGCTACAGCTGCAAACCAGAAACAGTGGTGAAATTGGGTTTTTCATTCGTTATCTCATCCTGTTATGTGTAGTATACTCAGTGATATGTTATATGTGACTGTACAAAATGTATGTAACTATTTATCAAGTTGTATTTGGGTAGCCTGTTGGCTGAAATTTTCTGGTTTGGATATCATTAGACACCTGAATAAGTAATATGATCTTGCAGTAAAGTACCAGTAACCGCCGTTGCAGTCAAATGCTGGTCAAGCTTCAGAAATTAAAACATACTGTAGTTGGAGGAAATTCTAGAAGTTTGTGTCACATCTTCATGGGTCCACAGCTGCCTGCTCTTAAAATGTGTTTATTTGCAATACAAGGCATCTTTTTAATATTACTGGATATACTTTAATTTTCATCTGCCAAGTTTTTACATTCTGTAACTCATACACCTCATTCAATTACATTGCACAAAGAAATTGTTTAAGTTACTACACATTTAAACTAGCTTTTGTTGGGACAGACTGTGCTCAAAAAGTATCATCATTCAGAAATTCAGATTGAAGGATACTCTTTGTTTCTGAGGTGCTTCCAGATTGCTCGTTGTTGCATTCAGCCGTGCTCCCTAAAAAAAGATTTAAATCTTTACAGGTAGAGCTGCAGTGGCATTTAGAAAAACTAAGCAGATTTTTGGACTTCCTTAAATTTCAACTGGAAATAATTCCATTGAATTGGATAGATGAAAGCCCATTTTGGATTTATTCACTTAAGCATTTTTCAGACAATTCTTGCTGAAGGATTTATTATTGTTCTGCTTCATTTTATTCAAAACTTCCTGAATCAGTATACTTATGGTAATGTTCCGTGCAGACATCATTTTCCAATACAAATGTGAATATGTGTAAATATTTTAATTGTAGTAATTGTGTCTGTCTTTGTAGGGAGGCCTTGTCGGGCTTGTAGATTATCCTGATGATGATGAAGAGGATGATGAAGATGAAGATAAAGAGGAAACTTTACCTTTGTCAAAGAAAGCAAAGCTTGAGTCATCATAATGGCAACTGCAGAAGAACATTACTAGTTGGGGGAAGGATCTTTTTTCCAAAAACAAAACAAAACCACAGCAAAGCAGCAATCTTTCATGAACTACTGTGTGTGACACAGATCAACCTATACAAATGGATTTCTGCCAATCAAGTGCCAATTCAAAGGAGCAGAAGGAGGGGAAATACTTCATTAGGGGAAAGACTTATGCCTTTGAGCTCTCCAGCTTGGACCACACGTTGCCCTTTTCTCAGGGAAGGAAATGGAAAACAAAACAAAAAAAAAAAGCCAACAGGGCAGGACTTTTGTTAGTGGAACTCTGGATTGGCTGGTCAGTTGCTACAATCAGAATATGCTTTCTTGGACCATGTATGAGACTTCTGAAGAAGAGGCGGTTTTTTGCCCTAATTCTTCACTAGTTAAGAATGCCAGCAGTTTCTTTGTATAAAAGAGACCTGCCTTTGAAATCGTACATTCGGAACATTTTACTCAAGCTACAACAGGTTTTAAAAACCTCTACGGGGGAGGGCTGAATATAAAGTTTCCTCTTTTTTTTTTTTCTTTTTTTTTTTTTTAATATCTGTTCCCTTTGCCCTTTAAACTGCAGAATTCTTTTTGGAGGTGAGGGATTTGTTTGTCCCTTCTTGATTAAAGATTGAGTGGAATTCTAGATGTGGTCACTTTTGTGTCAGATTTTTTTTTGCCCCCCTGAGTGTATGCTTAGTTGTTGAGTATATATTTGGGACCATTAAAATTTTTTGATGTAATATAATCTCACTGTTGTGCTGGTACCTGTTTCACCCTGTGTAATTTTGTTCTGCATCACAGTTCTTAATATGTTTAGGATTTTATGGAAGATGGTATAGTTTTTATTGGGAGAAAAAAAAATCTTACCACAATGTGCATAAAAGCAATACTATTTTGTGACTAAATATTTTATATTAAATTTTACATCAGCAACTGTCAAGAAAAATTTCAGGGAAATAGGAATAAACAAATTTAAACCTATAAATATGAAATTAGTATTCCAAAGAGACTTTGAAATTTCGTAACTCAGAACAACAGTGGTAGACTAACTCATCAAAATGGAAGATGGATGATTTAGGAATACCAATATATTGACTCATTTGACTTACAAAAATAAAAAAGAATTAATGAAAGCTGAAAGAAAAATGGCATTAGTGGTATTTTTTTTAAACCTCTGATTCCCTTTGGAATACCAGTTTTAGTGAATCAAAGATGGTTGTAGAATAGTCTTTACAAGGATACCATCTTTTGCAATTTATTCCAGTAGTTGAAAAAGAGCAGGTAAACTTTGGGTCTAACTCAGTGATGACATTCTTCCCCTTTTTCCAAAACTCGAAATAGTTATTAATGTGAAACTAAATGTTATATCCTGCCTCCTTACTGCACTTAACAGAAGATAGCTTGAAGGAGAGTTTTATTTAGTTCCTTTGCAAACAGGAAAGTCTTCCTTAGATGTACTTTCAGGAGTTTATTCCTTCTGGACATTCAAAGCACCAGTGTTGCAGCAATTGTGATGTTACACATTCACGTAACACATACAAATAGAAGTGAGAGAAATGAAAACCTGAGGCTGGACCATACGTGATTGCACCCCAGTGTGGATTAGCACTTTGTTTCTGAAAATTGTGTTTTGCATAGCAGATTCTGTGCCAACTACAGAAGTCAGTACCTTTGCAGTGGGACATTATGAATACATACTAGTAATTTCAGATCTAAATAAGAGTGTGCACTAGGGAAATATTAGCCATCTTTTCCTCAAGACATTAATTTGAAATCACTTTCCAAGGTTGAGTTTTTACAGTGTGTTTGAAATGTCTGTCACAGGGCAGTTCTCAGCAGTAAATTTTACAGAGAAGGCAAGAGATGAGCATTTGGTCACTACAAGATCTGATACAATTTTCTGCTGCAGTGTGAGACCCCCTATGCTGTCTCAGCAATCTGCCTGAAACCTGATTTTTGCAACTTTGGCTTCAGATCAGGCATCACGACAAGGAAATCTGAAATTTTGCAGGGTTTTTTAATTAGCCCGGATTTAAATCCTTTCCAAGCTGTCAAACTTTCCTTGAGTATAAAGCTTTCAAAATTCATCCGTCTAGTCATCTTTATGTCCTCCAGCTATATTTCAGGAAGGCATTTTTCCGGTGTGGTTGAAGGAACATTTTTTGCTAATGTGTTATTGTGTTCCTTCAGCTATTGAGTATTTGATTTTGTAACGTGTGATGTTGTGGTCTTCTAGTCTTTCACATACTTTCATGATACCTGTAGGAGTCTGGAAGTTTGGACTTCCAGTACTTGAAGTAATGTCGTTTAACAGAAGAAACGCTGTCCTTAAGTTCCTGGGTTGGGTCAAAATAATAACGGAAATAGGTCTGGTTTTGAACTTTCTATATTTTTATGAAGCTCTAAAGGACTGGTAAAGTACTAAGCTGCACATCTTTTAATACTGTCTTGACTTGTAGTCAGATCATTAATTGTCTTCACAAGTACCTAATGCTTGTGGCCTGACAGGACATATCTACATGTTGATGGAAGTTGGAAGTAGCCAGGAAGTAGGTGAGCTGGGGACAATGGTGGGTATGCTATTCCCAGTGACTTTTTTATTCATGGAAATCTCAAAATATATTTCAGGGAAAAAAAAAAAGAAATAGTGGGATTGTAAGAAGTGATGGATTAAAAAAAAAAAAAGTATGAGTTAAGATGTAGAAAAAAATATAGAATCATAGAATAGTTAGGGTTGGAAAGGACCTTAAGATCAAGTTTCAACTCCCCTGCCATGGGCAGGGACACCTCGCTCTAAACCATACCACCCAAGGCCTCGTCCACCCTGGCCTTGAACACTGCCGGGGATGGAGCATTCACAACCTCCCTGGGCAACCTATTCCAGTGCCTCACCACCCTAACAGGAAAGAATTTCCTCCTTACATCCAATCTAAACTTCCCCTGTTTTAAGTTTTAATCCATTACCCCTTGTCCTACCACTACAGTCCCTAATGAAGAGTCCATCCTCAGCATCCCTATAGGCCCCCTTCAGATACAAAACAGTGTTCTTTCTAGATCTTTCTCTGGGCTGCTGGAGTTTTCTTAGTTTTAAATCAATCTGTCCACATCCCAAGAGAGCTGGGTGGATATTGTATTAAAGGTGGCTCAGTTGTCTTGTGTTTTAACTGTATCTTCAAGTATGGTTTACAGGGTAAGCCCTTAAGAATCATACAGGCAAGATGCAATGTGCTGGAATCATCAGTGCAGGTCCCTATAATCCTTCAGTGGTCAAAAAACTTGATGGTGGTTACTCTGACATACACTGCCCAGCCCTTAGCCTTGCTTCACTGGGGATAGCAGACAAAAGCATATGGAGTACCTGGTCCCTTACCCTAATGACAGTAATTCCTGGTAATCTGGAGTATTTTCAGTTTTTCTTCCAGTGCACACAGTGGGCAGCTGCACTCAGGTAACAGTGCATATCACTAAAAAAAAACAGATTTCTTGTGTCGTGAGGATAGGAGGATCTGAAAGCTGGTATATCTAGCAGAAGTTGTCTCTACCTACTATATTTACTTGGTAAACAAGATCAGACTATTCATCCATCTCTCACAGCCCTCCCAGGTGAGATGTCATGTTCTCATGGAATTGTCAAGTAGACCCAATCCTTTAACATACCGGGGATGAACCTGTTCAGATGGGTTTTGGCTGTGTTTTAACATCTGCAAATTTCAGAAACAGGTAAGAATCTGTTATATTGCTACTGTGGCTCCATGAAGGAATTGGCTACCTTTCAACCCAGCACAAGTTACTCTGGTTGCCTTGCTCAGTTATGTTTTCTGGCACCTGTAGAGTCACTACAGAAGGTTAGCGTTACCCTTAGTGGCTGTTCTACAGCTGCAGAGGTGTCCTGGAGCAGTGCTGTCTGTGCTGGAGTAAGTAGTATTGCAGTTTCCCTGCCTTGAGATCAAAACCCATTCCAGATAAGCTGTGAAAGTAGAAGACCTGATGAGTTACTGCATGTGCTCACCCAACTCACTTCTACAGTGACTTTACAGTGACCACATCTGTGAAAAACTGGTGTTATAATGCAAATAACAATTCTCTCCAGCATCTGTAATTGAAAAAAATAATCTCATGTCAAAAAGAGTGAGCCAAGCCCATGTGACTTAAAGTAAGTTTCTGTTCACATCAACCATCTCTAATCTTAAACTTCAACATAATTCAACTAGAATCAAAGCCACTTTCTGTGTTTCAGCATGTTAAGTCAGTGCGCACAATACATAAACCACCGATGACCAATTTTTACCATATTCTTGTAAAACAGCTATCTAAACCCTTTAGGGCTACCACTGGACAACCTTACCTTTGTGTCTTCTCTCACAACCCCTCAAAACTGGAGTCTTTTATTTCATTAGTTCCTCAAATTCTTAAAGTTCTTCCCACATCTGTCTTATCACACAGGAGTGAATTTGGGGTGCTGTTTGAGCAGGTAGAACAGACACACGTTTCCCCATTCCCTGCATTGTTCACTGTTCCAAGAAATGGCAATCCTCTTGGTAAAGGTGGTGATCCCTGCCCTACTGTCATCTCCCTCCCTGCTGAGGCTCTGTTAACTTCTCCTCCTCCTTTGAGTGTTTTCCTTGTATGTGAATTGACACTTTAACTTTAGCCAGCCTAAGTACTTTGACAAGTTGCTTTTAAATTCTCTGGTTGTGGTTGTGTAATTTATACCAAGTCCCAGTGTCATCAGTATAGATACTCATACACTCCTGTACAACTGAAATGCCAAAACAGCAGTCTGAAGACTGAACATGCCCTAAAGCACTGGATCTTCAAAATCACATTCTGTTATTATTAGGACATTTGCCAGTGATGATTGATAGGGATTGATACTGATGATCTGAAAATACTTTCAAATCATCAGTACTAAATCTTTAATATAATCAAAACATGTTCCATTTGATACATTTCTATACTTTCCTTTTTATCTTTAGAGTGGCCAGTAGCCATGCCTAGTGTGGTCCTGTTGATTCTTCAATTCACCTCATGAATCTCAGTTAATGCTGCTGGTGTAGTTCTCCTGCCAAAGAGAAACAGAGGAATGTGCACGGCAATGTTCTGTGCCTTGGTGAGAAACCAAGCTTTTGGATAACATCCCCAAACCTTTACACAATTATTGTGGTCCTTCAGTAATCATCTCCTCAACAGACCAGGCCCTATCATGCATTTGAAACCTACAGGACACCTTCCCCTCTCTGCTGCTGCTTCATATGACATCTTTCA